CTCCCTTCCCACTCTCTCTCCTCTCCTCTCTTCTCTCTCACCTCATAAATTTTGCTTTAGGAGACAAAATTGGGCTTTTGAAGTCTTTCTCTTCAAAAACAAGGTCCATACAAAGTCAGATGATCAACTATGGCCACACTGCACAGTGAGGTCATTATTCTCAAGCTGTAATGTCAGCAGGAGAGATGTTTTGAGTTTTAACAAGTATATATTTTCCACTTTGACTCAGGTGTTGGAAAAGGCAACGGAAGTGACCTAGAAGTACAAGTAATAATGTGGCAGGAGACGGTTTTTTCCTGTTTTAATTCCAAGAATTGTATGGTAAGTGAAAACACAAGAGCTGAAGTTTCTGATGTTTCATTTCTGCTTTTGTTTGTGTGCAGATATGTATAAGTGTGTGTGTGGGTGTGAGTGCAAGTGTGCAGATATGTATAAGTGTATTACGGGTGTGGGTGCAAGTATGCAGATATGTATAAGTGTGTGTGGGGGGGGTGCAAGTGTGCAGATATGTATAAGGTATAAGTGTATGTGCAGGTGTGGGTGCAAGTGTGCAGATATGTATACGGTATAAGTGTATGTGCAGGTGTGGGTGCAAGTGCATGTGTACACAGAATCCAGAGGTCAAAGGTGGGTGCTTCTTCAAAGGCTGCCCACCCAATTTTTCGAGACTGGATCTTTTACTGCTAATTCATCAAGACCAGGGATCCTTCTGCCTCCACATCCCCAATGCTAAGATTACAGAGACAAAGCGCCACACCCGGTAGAGGTCCTCCTGCTTACCCAATAGGCACTTGGTCAGTCAAGCACTTCTCCCTGCCCTGGTATTTAATTGAAAACCAGAGTCAAAGTAGCGTGTTCATTCACTGAGCCACAGAGCTGCTTGTTGCTCTCCAGCTATGGTCCTGTTCGGTAATGCTTGGTTTAGATGCAGACCAGAGTTTGCTTCATCCCGCTGTTCAGAATGAGTTTTTCAAGGCATTCTCTTTACATCTTGTCTCAGTCTTGCTATGTCTTTCCCTTTCCCATAATGCTTGAGCACATTCCTACAATCTATCATGATTTTAAGTTTATGTCACCTTTACATTTATGTCAGTTTTGGTCTTTTTATCTTCTTTCCGGTTACTTTAAAAAAGATTACCTAGGAGCTTCTAGAGATACACATTCCTAGGTTGTTCTCTCAGAGTGTGAGTCAGGAAATCTGGAATGAGGCCCAGACATCAGAAGCTTTGTCCTTAATGATTTTGTTACTCAGATATTCTGTGGACTGGTGCCCTGAGATACAGGGAGTTTATGAACTAGAAAGAAACTTCTTGCCCTCAAGCAATGGGAGCCAAGAGGTAATATTTAGATAACAAGTTGAAAAACACCTAGGATGATGATATGCCTTTGAAGCAATGGCGTGGTGGTTTGAAAGAGGATGGCCCCCATAGGCTCATACGCCACCCAGTTGGTAGAGCTGTTTGGGAAGGATTAGGAGGTGTGGCCTTGTTGGAGGATACACTGCAGGTGGCTTCGAGGTTTCAAAAGCCCATATCAGGCCCAATCTCCCTCTCCCTACCTCCTGCCTTAGGATTAGGATGGAGACTCTTAGCTACTGCTCCAGTATCATGTTCCCCAACATACTGATCATGGACTAGCTTTCTAGAAATATAAGCAACTCCCATATTAAATGCTTTTCTCTGTGAGTTGCCTTGGCCATGGTGTCTCTTCACAGCAACAGGACGGTGACTAAGACAAACAGTAAGAACAGTTCCCCTGTGGCTCTATAAAAGTAAACTTACAGAATTCCACCTCGGGGTCTTGTTTTATTGCTAACACTATTCCCCTGCCACATACAGTTCTTTGTTATTGGCACCCACTCATACCTGATTCTGACTGTTCAGTTCTTTGCAAACACTCTGTTCTTGGTTGGGCTTAGCATTCCCTTTCTTTACATTGCAATTTGTTCTTTTATTGACTCTGGGTGTTTGTGAGCACTCACTGTGTGGTAGCTGCAAAGTCTGTAATGTGGGCATTCTTCATCCCGGTGATTAAAATGCATCTGCCCAGGGAGCTTTTCTCTGTGTCCATGTATGGGACCAGCATTTGCCCACTCGGATCTAAAAATATGATATTGTCCTTGATTCTTTTCTGTAGTCCCTAAATTAATAATTCTTCTTGGCTATGTCTTTGAAGAAATTTCTCCTTCATGCCTCTCTGCTACAACTATCTACTCAGACCTTCGTTTGCCCGCATCTAAGTTTCTACAATAGTCTCCTCACAATGTCCTCTGTATGAGATGTAAAATGGAAGTACTAGACTGTGCACCCTGAAATACTTTCTCACTGTGAAAAGCCACAGGCAGAAAAAAAGTGTGTAATGCATCAGTGGTCAAATCCGGGAACCACCCTTTGGCTCTATTTATATATCTGTTTGTTGCTTGTTACCTGTGTGTGTGTATATGAATAAACTTCTCTCTCAGTTCTGCTTTTTGTTTTTGTTTTTGGAGACAGAGTTTCTCTGTGTAGCCCTGGCTGTCCTGGAACTCACTCTGTAGACCAGGCTGGCCTCGAACTCAGAAATCGGCCTGCCTCTGCCTCCCAAGTGCTGGGATTAAAGGCATGCGCCACCACAGCCGGGCTCAGTTCTGCTTTTAATATACCTTTGTTGTGTTGTGGTTTCATTTTCGTTTAGTTTCAGAGCTAAAAAAGAAAGAAAGAAAACCTTCCTTCTTGATGTCTTCTTTGACCCAGTGATCATTGAATACTGTGTTAATGTCTATGGGGTTGTGGTTTTATTAGAAAGTGTTTGGTTTTTATTTTAAGCTTCACTGCATTGTGGCCACATAGGATGTAGTTATTCCCATTATTTTTGTGTTTACCAGGATGTGTGTTTTAAAAAACAAAACTGTCTTTGAACTTTGATTGGTTGATTGATTGATTTTATGTACATGAGTACACTGCAGCTGTCTTCAGACACAACAGAAGAGGGCGTCAGATCCCGTTACAGATGGTTGTGAGCCACCATGTGGTTCCTGGGAATCGAACTCAGGACCTCTGGAAGAACAGTCAGTACTCTTAACCACTGAGCCATCTCTCCAGCCCAGAGATGTGGTTTGTAATCCCACCCAGTATGTAGTTTATTTTAGAGAAAGTTTCATGAGCTGCTGAGTCAAATATATATTCTTTGGTGTTTGGGTAAAATACTCAGTAGATGCCTGTTAGATCCATTTGAGATGTCTGATGCTATACACACAATTCCAATTATATGTATATTGGGTATATTTTTGTCCAAATTATTTTTCTGTTGGAGAAAGCGAGTTATTGAAATCAGTCACCTATTATTGAGTTGGGGTTAATCTCTCTCTCTCTCTCTCTCTCTCTCTCTCTCTCTCTCTCTCTCTCACACACACACACACACACACACACACACACACACATAATTGGGTGCCTGTGAATTTGGTACAGACTAATATCTTCTTGACTAGTTGTTCTCTTGATCAGAATGACATAATCTTTATATCTTTTGAATAATATTAGTTTGAAGCCTATTTTGTCAGATGTTAGGACAGCAACTCTAGTCCTATTTTCTTGTGATAGTTTTTCTGTCCTTTCACTCTGAGCCAGTGTGTGTCCTTGAAGATAAATGGGGTTTCCTGTAAACGACTCAAAAATAGATTTTGTTTCTTGTGTCTTTTGATTGAGAAGTTTAGGCCATTTATATTTAAAGCTACTGTTGAAAAAAATCTGTTCATTATTTACACATTGTATTATTGTCTCTTATTTTGTGTTCCCTTGACTATAGATTCATTTGTTTTCTTTCTGTATCCTCCTTTTTCAGATGTGCACCCTCATTTCTGAATGTATATCCTTTTAAATTAATTTTAATTTAAAAGTTTTCTTATATTGAAAATAGATTTTTTTAATACAATACACTTAGATTATAGTTTCCCCTCCCCCAACTACTCCAAGACTCTCCCTACCTCCTCTTCCATCCATATCTACACCCTTTCTGTCTCTCCTTAGAAAATTAACAGGCATCTAAGGAATAATAATGAAATACGATACTCAGACACAAATAAACCAGAACAGAACAAGCAAACAAACAGAAGAAAAAGAGCCAAAGAAAAAGTATGAAAAGCTGGTGCACACCTTTAATCCCAGCACTTGGGAAGCAGAGGCAGGCGGATTTCTGAGTTCAAGGCCAACCTGGTCTACAGAGTGAGTTCCAGGACAGCCAGGGCTATACAGAGAAACAATGTCTCGAAAATAACCAAAAAAATAAAAATAAATAATAAATAAAAAGCAAATACGTAAATAAATGTCCTGATACAACATTATATGATAAATAACCTCCAAAGATGCCATTCAAATCTTTTGTGTTGGCCATCTGCTACTGGCTGGCTTTAAGAGTGGTTTGTATACCCAGTAAGAGTCCACTGGAGAACATGTAATTTTTCATTTGCAAGTGGTTATCAATAGGAGATAGCTTCTGGGTTAAGGATGTGGGTTTATATCCACTTTTCCTCTCAGTGGGGACCTCATCTGGTACAGAACCATGCAGGCCCCATGCATGCTGCCAGAGTCTCTGTGAGTGCACACGTGTGTTGGTCCTGCTGTGTTTAGAGGGCCTTGTTCCCTTTGTGTCCTCCACCCCCTCTGCCTCTGATAGTCTTTCTGCCTCCAATACTGTATTGTTCTCTGAACCCTGCGGGGAGGGAGTTGATGAAGACATCCCATTTAGGAGTGAGTGTTGCAAGGTCTTTCTCATTGACCATCCATGGGCCTCTGTATTTCTTCCCATCTACTTCAGAAGGAAGTGTTTCTGATGATGGCTGAGCAAGGCACTGATCTGATTTCCTGGCAGGTGTTTTCTTTACCCTCTTAAATACTTACTCTTACCCTCAGTCTGAAGTATTCCCTATTGGGGTAACTTGTTGGACATGAATTCTTTTAGCCTGCTTATATCATGGAAAGTTGTTTCTCATGCAATTATGGCTGATAATTTTGCTGGGTATAATAATCTGTGTTGACACATGGGTTCTCTTTATTTCTTACTTTATAAAATTTGAGATTATAATATAATTACATTTCTCCCTTCTCTTTCCTCTCTTCAAACCCTCCCATTTGCCCCTCTTTGCTCTCACTCAAATTTATAACTTTTTTCATTAATTATTATTGCATGTTATTGCATTGTATATTTATACACATGTATGTTTCTAAATATAACTGACTCAGTCTATATAATGTTATTTGTTTGCATGTTTTCAGGGCTAAACATCTGATATTGAATAACTAGTTTATGTGCTCTTTCCTGGAGAAGACCACCTCTCCCACTTTCAGCTTTCCCCACTGCCTAGAACTGTTTGTGTAGGATGTAGGCCTTGTGGGCTTTTCCCTGGCTACTTTGGCATATCTATTAGTGTCCTCCTTGTTCAGCTCATGTTTGTCCAGTCATATTGGTGAGATTTTACGGGTATAGCTCCCAACATTACTGGGAGGCACAGCATCACAGCCAACTTCTTGATCTTTTGGCCCCTACAATCTCTTTCACAATGTCCCACAACTTTACCAGCACTGAGTAGTTACCTAGGTTTCCAGTACTGGGTATGTTTTCCCTCTTGTTGAATGAGGCTTAAGTCCAATTAAAGAGCTGTTGGTTACTGCCAAGGCATGTCTGCCCCTTTACCCTTAGGGTTATTGTGCCGTGCTGATAATTTATGTGGTCTGTAATCATCATGGATGGGTAGGATTGAGGTTGGCTCCCTCCTTTGGAAGTTTACATGGCACCTCTGGTGGCATTTGTGTTCCTTTAGAGCTTGAAGTACATTGCTCCAGGATCTTCTGGCTTTTGAAATTTCCATTGACAATTCAGCTATTATTTTGATGGGTTTCCTTTATAGGTGATTTGTAATTTTTCTCTTGCAATTTTCAATACTTTCTTGGTTCTATCAATTCTAATTTAACTACAATATGCACACTAAGCTTATTTTCTGGTCCTGTGTATTAGGTGGTTCCTGTGCTTCTTGTATTGATCTTATTGAAAACCTGGTCTATGTCACCAGAGATTCTTCTCCATCTATGCCTATAATTAAACAACATAGATTAAATAAATTAAATAATATAAAAGACCTTTAGTCTTTTCACATGTAACTAAAGTTCCCCACATTCCTTTGTGTTTTTAATTTCTTCATATTCTTTGCTTAAGTGGTCTAACTCTTCTACGGTATCCTCAAGTCTTGACATTCTGTCTTCTGTTTGCTCCATTATGCGGGTATGTCTTTACCCTGAGTTTTCTAACTGGGTTAGAACTGAAAAGGGAGACATAACAACAGAAACTGAGGAAATTCAAAAGATCATCAGATCCTACTACAAAAGCTTATACTCAACAAAACTGGAAAGTCTAGATGAAATGGACAATTTTCTAGACAGATACCAGGTACCAAAGTTAAATTAGGAGCAGATAAACCATCTAAACAGTCCCATAACCCCTAAAGAAATAGCAGCAGTCATTAAAAGTCCCCACCAAAAAAACCCCAGGACCAGATGGTTTTAGTGCAGAATTCTATCAGACCTTCAAGGAAGACCTAATATCAATTCTCTTCAAACTATTCCACAAAATAGAAACAGAAGGAACACTATCCAATTCGTTCTATGAAGCCACAATCACACTCATACCTAAACCTCATAAAGACCCAACAAAGAAAGAGAACTTCAGACCAATCTCCCTTATGAATATTGATGTAAAAATACTCAATAAAATTCTCACAAACCGAATCCAAGAACACATCAAAACAATCATCCATCATGATCAAGTAGGCTTTATCCCAGGAATGCAGGGATGGTTCAATATTTGCAAATCCAGCACCATAATCCACAATATAAACAAACTCGAAGAAAAAAAGTAATGCTATCTTAGTTAAGCTCTATGATATTTACTACTGTGCCTTTCAGCAATGTTCCACCATAGCCTTCAAGAGATGGAGAGTTCATTTAAACAACTAAGTTACAATTGCATAGAAAGATTAACATCTACTTATATACATGGAATAATTGGGCTACGGCATCAAGAATAGTTGATAATTTAGGGAGTAAGAGTGGGCTCCACCCTTGTGCTTATTATCTGGTCGTATACTTCTGAATTTTCTGTTTCTCCACAGATATTTCATGATGCTGAAACAGACAGAGCAATAATTAATGTGCTCAACTGTCCAGCTCTATATGATGACGTGAAAGTGAAATTTCTCTCTGTGGTGAGTAATCAAGAAGCGAATTGTTCTTGTTTAGTCCTTTCCTTTTAGATTGTTTAGACAGAGCTGTGTAGTCCAGGTTGGGCTCGAAGCTTATCATGTGACCCAGGCTGGCCTCGAACGTATGATTCTTCTGCCTCAGCCTCCCGAGTGCGGGGATTATAGGTTTGTGTCATGAAACATGACTCTTTCTAGTCTTGTCTTTTGAATGATTTTGGTTTGGGATTTCTTTTGCCACAATTCTCAATAAAGAAAATGACAGACATCAGTCCATGGTCAGGAAACCAGAGGAAAGCAAAAAGTCAAAACTGTAACTTTTTTCCTAAAAGAACATACATAGTATTTTTATTCATTTTTTGTAAATTCTACATAATAGACACATATTAATTTTTCAAATAAGATGAAAACAACTTGATTTTAAAAAAACCAAAAGTAGTATAGCATAGTAATTACATTTTTGTTTTGTATCTTTAAAACACTTGTAGCCACTGGGAGGTCAGGCATATGTCTTTCGCCCCAGCATTCGGGAAACAGAGCAGGTGAATCTCGGTGAGTTTGAGTCCAGCTGGTCTACATTGTGAGTTCCAAACTGCCTGGGCTATGTAGTGAGACTGTCTCCCCAAAACCTAAAATAACAAACAAACAAAACACCATATTGTTGCCAATAATTTATAGCATACTTAAAAAAGATTTTAAACTTACCTTTGAATTGATAAACAATATAATAGTCTCATTAATCTAATCTTGCCTTATGAAAAATAGGAATGTCACCCATTGTCATTACTCAGAACATCTTAAGCATGTAATTTATATATGTGTGTGTATATATACACATAATTATATACACATATATATATATACATAAGTATGTGATTTATACACATATACATATGCACATATAAGTATGTAATTTATGTGGTTATTAATTTTATGTCTGGACATTTACTGCATGTAGCAAACTTTAAAAAATGAAACTTAGTAGTTTCATTTTTTATAAAACTCTTTTTTTTTTTTTTTTTTGGTTTTTTTTTTCAAGGTTTGTTTGTGTAGTTCTGGCTGTCCTGGAACTCACTCACTCTGTAGACCAGGTTGGCCTCGAACTCAGAAATCCGCCTGCCTCTGCCTCCCAAGTGCTGGGATTAAAGGCGTGCACCACCACCGCCCAGCTTTATAAAACTCTTAATCTGAACTACAAACAACTATGTTAGTCAGCTTAAAATGTCTCTTGCCTTTTTTATCTCAGCATAACTTACTGAGGAAATTCTCTGACTGTTTCCCTCAGTGCTGCAGGCTGTGCATTCTCACCAGCCACATACGAGGAACTCCGGTTCTCTGCACCTTCCTTGGCAATGTTCTCTGTTATTTTAAATCAGTGACACTATATGTTGGAAGATTTCATTGACTCTGTGACCTAAGAGTCTTTTCATGTCCTTGTTGGACATCTCAGGACAAATAGCTGTTCAAATCCCTTGAGTTTTTATTGAGCTATCTTTTGTCATTGGATTATAAAAGTTCTTTATTCTGACCATCAGAAATGTCTGTTCTCAGTCACTTGAGTTTTTATGGGCTCTCCTTTGCCATTGAACAGTAGAAAAGCTTCATAGAAAAACCTTCATTAGAACGTGAATTGTGAATGTTTCTTCCTACTCTGTGGCTTAGCATTTCATTATGATTGGTGATGCACCTTTTCCCCCTTTATTTTTGAGATTATAATTACATCATGTTTCCCTTCCTTTCCCTCTGGCCAAACACTTCTATATAGCCCTCCCTGCTCTTACAAATTCACGGGCTCTTTCTTCATTAATTGCTGTTACATGCTGTACTAGCTGGTTTTGTGTGTCAACTTGACACAAGCTGGAGTTATCACAGAGAAAGGAGCCTCCCTTGAGGAAATGCCTCTATGAGATCCAGCTGTAAGGCATTTTCTCAATTAGTGATCAAGTGGGGAGGTCCCTTGTGGGTGGTGCCATCCCTGGGCTGGTAGTCTTGGGTTCTATAAGAAAGCAAGCTGAGCAAGCCAAGGGAAGCGAGCCAGTAAGAAACATCCCTCCATGGCCTCTGCATCAGCTCCTGCTTCCTGACCTGCTTGAGTTCCAGTCCTGACTTCCTTTGGTGATGAACAGCAACGTGGAAGTGTAAGCTGAATAAACCCTTTCCTCCTCAACATGCTTCTTGGTCATGATGTTTGTGCAGAAATAGAAACCCTGACTAAGACAAATTGGTACCAGCATAGTGGAATATTCCTGTGACAACCTGACCATGTTTTGGGGAGGACTGTGGAAAGACTTTGGAACTTTGGGCTGGAAGAGCCATTGGGTGTTAAGAGTTCTATACGACGTTCTGTAGGAGCTGGAAGATAATGTTGAGAACAGTGCAAACGATGAAGGCCTGGCTTGTGAAATTTCAGAGGGAAGATTAAAGACTCTTATCAGGGCCGCTGCTGTTTTGATTGTGAAGATTCTGTGGTTTTGGTTAGCTGGGGCTGAAGAATCAATTGTGATTAACAAGGTTCCAGAACTACTAAATCGAAACTTTTGCATTACTGGGACTATTGATGCTGGTAAGCTGGAGCTAAGAAATTAGTGTGATTAAGAAAAGATCAGCATCATTAAAGTGAAATCTTCTGGGAAGTGTTTTCTGAGAGCACAAAGAAACTGTGTTCCAAAGATAGCCACAGTTGTATCTCATGCTGTAGCTGGACTTGGTGATGTGTAAGAGTCACCCAGGTGGTGCGGGTTTTGAAAGCATGAAGGGGTCATGCAGAGCAGCTGAGGCTTGGCAATGTGAGAGGCCATGGAAGGCTATTGGTGAAGGTGCAGCCTCAGTTCCCGTTGATGGCCCAGGACTGAAGGAGTCACGCAAAGGATCTGAGGCCTGGCACCATGAAGAGAGCCTAGGAGAGGCTACTGGAGAAGCCTAGCTGCAGAGTAAGACTCCAGTGTATTGCAGATGCCAGTCCCATGGGATGATCACCAAGAACAGCAGCATCAGTGGAGTGGATCAACCTGAGCTTAGGGTCCTACAGAGGGCAGGGCTGGAGAAGTGATGAGCTTGGAGGAGCCCAGGAGATCGTGAGTAGATCCCAGACATTGGACAGTTAAGAGTTTGATTTTGATTTTGCTTATGGCTATGCCCTGATATTTTTCCCTGTTGAAGTAACAAAGTATTTTAGTAAAGTTCACAGTCAAGAGACTTCAAATTGTAAAAAATGTCAAAGGAGATTGGATATTTTAAAGAGATTGACATTTCAATATGTAAGAATTTGTAAAGAGTGTGGGACTTTAAAGTTCTTTAGATCTTGGAGATGAATAAGAAAGGAAAGGTTGAGATGTAATAGTGACGTGTTTGTGTCAAATTGAGAAGGGGTCAATTGTACTGGGTGGTTCTGTGTGTCAACTTGACACAAGCTGGAGTCATCACAGAGAAAGGAGTTTCCCTTGAGGAAATGTCTCCATAAGATTCAGCTGTAAGGCATTTTCTCAATTAGTGATCAAGGCGGGGAGGGCGCATTGTGGGCAGTGCCATCCCTGGGCTGATAGTCCTGAGTTTTATAAGAAAGCAAGCTAAGCAAGTCATGAGGAGCAAGCCAGTAAGCAGCACCCCTCCATGTCCTCTGCATCAGCTCCTGCTTCCTGCCCTGTGTGAGTTCCAGTCCTGACTTCCTTTGGTGATGAACAGCAATGTGGAAGTGTAAGCTGAATAAACCCTTTCCTCCCCAACTTGCTTCTTGGTCATGATTTTTTGTGCAGGAATAGAAACCCTAACACACACACACATATGTATACGTATGTACATATAAATTCCAAAATATAACCCTCTCGGTCTATATGATGTTAGTTGTATTCATGTTCTCAGGGCTGACCATTTGGTAGTAGATAGCCAATTAGTGCAGTCTTCCCTCCCCATCTCCACATCCCTCGCTTGCGTGTGGGTCCTTGTGTAGGGTCAAGGCTGCCTTTTCTTCCCCTCTCCCACACTGGCAGTCTCCTGTCCTTGCTCAGCTCATGTTGCTTAGGCAGTCATGTTGGTGACAATCTATGGGTGTAGCTCCTGACAGTGCTAGGAAAAGCAATCTCAGAGGAGACACCCCAGCCCTCCGGCTCTCAGTGACCTTTCACCCCCCTCTTCTGCTATATTCACTGAGCCTCAGACGGGGTAGTTGTTTTGTAGATGTATCTACTGGAACTGGGCTCTCCAGCTCTGCATTTTGATTGGTTGTGGTTTTCCGTAATGGTCTCTGTATGTTGCAAAGAGAGATTTCTCCCACGTGAGGAAGAGACTACACCTACTGTGGGTATAAGGATGAACATTTGGAATATAGGTAGGGGACTGTGCTGATTTAGTAATGTAGTGGGTTCGCCTCTAAGAGCCATGACTTCACTAGCACTGGTTAGTTGGCTCGGTTTCCAGTACCTGTCATGATTTCTCTACAGCTGACTGAGTCTTAAGTCCAATCAGAGAACTGTTGGTTACCAGCTAGCTATATATTCCAGGACTTCTTCCGTAGTGTTATCTTGCTACTCTCGTTGCTTTTATGGTTCGTTGGCTTCATAGGTGGGTAGAACCTATTTTTTTTTAATTACTACAGCTCTGTAATGTATCTAAAATGTTGATTGTTTTCCTCCTTTAGAAGCTTGGATGATGCTTTCTGATACCATGAATGCTAGTTCTTGGAAAGTTGGTATTCAGATCAGTCCCAGCTGGTGTCTTCAGCCAAAAGTGACTTACCTTCCACCTCTTGGATAGCAACAATGGGCAATAGCACTGGCCTCTAATGTTTCAGGAGTGTCTTGGACAACTTCACTGGTGTTATGGGTGTGGGTAGATGACTTTTGGCCCTTGGAGGGAACATTGTCTGCCAAAAATGAGAAGTTTTATTTAAACTATATATGTATTCTATACACAGAATTATGTGTACTATAGGTTTGACAGGTTGACAATTAGTAGTATGACTGCTTATGACTTTTTCAAACATACCTCCTAATTCTGTATTTATCTCCCTTCACTGCCCTGAATAGAACCCTCCTTCTTTCCGATTTCCCCTCTAGATCACTTGTACCCTGATAGTCTCTTCTTTGTTGCCTCCCAACCTCTCTACCCAGAAAACAATCCTTTTACTTCCCTGGCCTTTGGGTATATGCCCAGGAGCGGTATAGCTGGGTCCTCAGGTAAAACTATTTCCAATTTTCTGAGGAACCTCCAGACTGATTTCCAGAGAGGTTGTATCAGCTTGCAATCCCACCAACAATGGAAGAGTGTTCCTCCTTCTCCACATCCTCGACAGTATCTACTGTCACCTGAGTTTTTGATCTTAGCCATTCTGACGAGTGTGAGGTGGAATCTCAGGGTTGTTTTGATTTGCATTTCCCTGATGACTAAGGATGTTGAACATTTCTTTAAGTGATTCTCAACCATTCAAGATTCCTCAGTTGAGAATTCTGTTTAGCTCTGTAACCCATTTTTAAATAGGGTTATTTGGTTCCCTGGAGTCTAAGTTGTTGAATTCTTTTGTATATTTTGGCTGTTAGCCCTCTGTCAGATGTAGGGTTGGTAAAGATCTTTTCCCAATCTGTTGGTTGCCATTTTGTCCTATTGACAGTGTCTTTCACCTTACAGAAGAAGATTTTCAATTTTATGAGGTCCTATTTGTCAATTCTTAATCTTAGAGCATAAGCCACTGGTGTTCTGTTCAGGAAATTTTCCCCTGTGCCAATGTGTTTGAGGTTCTTTCCCACTTCTTCTATTAAATTCATCATATCTGGTTTTATGTGGAGGTCCTCAATCCACTTGGACTTGAGCTTTGTACAAGGAGATAAGAATGGATCAATTTGCATTCTTCTACACGCTGACCACCATTTGTTGAAAATGCAGTCTCTTTTCCACTGGATGGCTTTGGCTCCTTTGTCAAAGACCAAGTGACCATAGGTGTGTGGGTTCATTTCTGGGCCTTCAATTCTATTCCATTGACCTACCTGCCTGTCTCTGTACCAATATGATGCCGTTTTTATCACTATTGCTCTGCAGTATAGCTTGAGGTCAGGAATGGTGATTCTCCCAGAAGTTCTTTTATTGTTGAGAATGGTTTTTGCTATCCTGGGATTTTTGTTATTCCAGATAAATTTGAGAATTGCTCTTATCTCTGTGAAGAATTGAGTTGGAATTTTTATGGGGATTGCATTGAATCTGTAGATTACTTTTGGTAAAATGGCCATTTTTACTCTCTTAATCCTGCCCATCCACGAGGATGGGAGATCTTTCCATCTTCTGAGGTCTTCAAATTTCTTTCTTCAGAGACTCGAAGTTCTTGTCATACAGTTCTTTTACTTGCTTGGTTAGCGTCACACCAAGATATTTCATATTATTTGTGACTATTGTAAAAGGTGTTGTTTCCCTAATTTCTTCCTCAGCCCATTTATCTTTTGAGTAGAGGAAGGCTACTGATTTGTTTGAATTAGCTTTGTATCCAGCCACTTCACTGAAGTTGTTTATCAGGTTTAGGAGTTCTCTGGTGGATTTTTTTGGGGGGTCATTTATATATACTACCATATCATCTGCAAATAGTGATACTTTGTGACTTCTTCCTTTTTAATTTGTATCCCTTTGATCTTTTGTTGCCTAATTGCTCTGGCTAGAACTTCAAGTACTATATGGAATAGATAGCGAGAGACTGGACAGCATTGTCTTGTTCCTGATTTTAGTAGGATTGCTTCAAGTTTCTCTCTATTTAGTTTGATGTTGGCTTGCTATATATTGCTTTTATTATATTGAATTCCTGATCTCTCCAATACTTCTAGTTTGAAAAGGTGTTATATTTTGTCAAAGGCTTGTTCAGCATCTAATGAGATGATCATTTGTTTTTTTTTTCCTTCGAGTTTGTTTATATAGTGGATTACGTTGATGAATTTCTGTATACTGAACCATCCTTGCGTCCCTGGGATGAAGCCTACTTGATCATGGTGAATGATTGTTTTGATGTGTTCTTGGATTTTCTTTGTAAGAATTTTATTGAGTATTTTTGCATCAGTGGCAATGTTCATGAAGGAAATTGATCTAAAGTTCTCTTTCTTTGTTGGGTCTTTGTGTGGTTTAGGCTGGCATTTTTATTCTCTTAATGTCTGTAGGATATCTGCCTAAGATCATCTGGCTTTTAGAGTCCCTGTTGAGAAGTCTGGTATACAGTCATAGAATGTATTGGGTAGGGTTCCTTCTGTTTCTATTTTATGAACTAGTTTGAGAAGTATTGGTATTAGGTCTTCTTTGAAAGTCTGATAGAATTCTGCACTAAAACCATCTGGGAACTTTTGGTTGGAAGATTTTAATGACTGCTTCTATTTCCTTAAGGGTTATGCGACTGTTAGTTTATCTGATCCTGATTTAACTTTGGCACCTGGTATCTGTCTAGAAAATCATCCATTTCACCTAGATTTTCCAGTTTTGCTCAGTATATGCTTTTTTAGTAAGCTCTGATTGTTTTTTTAATTTCTTCAGTTTCTGTTATGTCTCCGTTTTCAGTTCTGATTTTGTTACTTTGGATACTGTCTCTGGGCCCTCTGGTTAGTCTGGCTAAGGGTTTATCTATCTTGTTGATTTTTCAAAGGACCAGCTCCTGGTTTTGTTGATTCTTTGTATAGTTCTCTTTGTTTCTACTTGGTTGATTTCAGCCATGAGTTTCATTATTTCCCGCCTTCTACTCCTCTTTTGTGTGTTTGGTTCTTTCTGTTCTAGAGCTTTCAGATGTGCTGTTAAGCTGCTAGTGTACGCTTTCTCCAGTTTCTTTATGGAAGCACTCAGAGCTAGATTTATTCTCAGCACTATTTTCATTGTGTCCCATAAGTTTGGGTATGTTGTGCCTTAATTTTCATTAAATTCTAAATATATAGTGTCCTTCCCCATCTTTCTTGGTTTTTCGAGACAGGGCTCCGTAATATTTCTAAAATCTGGAATGGTAACCTCTCCAGCATTGTTATCTCCCTTCAGGATGGTTCTGGATATCCAAGGTCTTTGTGACTCCATATGAATTTTATGATTTCTTTTTCTTTTTCTATTTCTGTAGAGAGTGAGATGGAGATTTTGATTGGGAGGCAGTTGAGAGCAAGAGCAGTAACCTATATTGTTTGGGAAGTCTGGGTCTCCCTGATCAATAATCTGAAATGAAACAGTTGGTACTGGGATCTTTTTTTAGTCAATTGCTCTGGGGTAGAACACTATCAGCATAACTTCATTTAAAGTATATCTGAACATGTATACATACACCTTACACATATGTATACATGTATGTAAATTTAGGCTAATAAAAATAAGGATACCTTATGGCCTTTTCAAACACTGTCATTTTAATGCATAAAAGTTACATTTTAATGTTGTTCAATTTACCTATTTTCTTTTACTTTACTGCACTATATTTGAGATTTATATTTTAATTGAAAATGCCAGCTAAATAGCGCATTTATAACACGTAAATACTTTTCCTTAACATTTTTAACACCAAGAGAAAGCAATATTCTCTTGAAGCCTTATGTCTTGAGTGTATCATTACAATCTATAAATATTTAATGGATGTGGTTGTTCAATATGTATTAACACGAATAAGAGATTTTAACTCATCAGACTCAGTTGTTCTGTGTATCAATTTTATGATGAAACTAATATTTTTCTTTAACCATGTCTTTTTTTTAGAATCTTCCTAAATACTATGATGACTGCCCCTTTTTCTTTTGGTTTCATACATCTTTTATTCGAAATTACAGGTAGGATACATTCTAATCCAACAGAAACAGCTTAATGTGCCATGTATTAGGACAAGGTTTATGCCAGCTGTCCTCTAAGTTCAACTTATAGGAACAAAAGACTGGTGAATCAGCACTCCAAAGCCTTAGTCATCTTAGTGTGGGTTTAAAATCTTTTTTGAGTTTGTTTGCATTTATTAATAATATGAAATATACATACAACACACTATATATGTATACATTTACAGTCTGCATTTCCTTTTGTATTTTTCCCACCATGGAACTCAGTCCCAGTAGAGCTCCCGCCACCACTCAGCTCACCTCACTTGGGATACTATGTAACCTGGTAATGGTTATTTTTTAAACACAGCTACCTGTTGGACCTCCGTGTTGCATTAATCACAAGCTCTGAGCCCTTAGACTATAAGTTAAAGGTAGTATACTCAGACCCAGAGTGTGATAGTAAATTCCTTGCATTAATCACAAGCTCTGAGCCCTTGGACTCTAAGTTAAAGGTAGTATACACTCAGATCCAGACTAATAGTAAATTCCTTCCAAGGGATTTTAATATGCATCTGCTCGGTATGTATATGCTCAATGCCTTGAGTTTGACAAGGCCTCGAGGAATAAGTGTTGGCTAACCGGCACCCACCCACCCACCAAATTCCATGTGTGACTCAGAGGTGTCCACAGCTCAGAAGCTGATCGACCCACCTAACATTTGGGTCAGGAGTTAGAAAGCATAGGGACTAGTGAAGAAATCATTCCTGTGATAGTTTTCCTCTTAAATGTGACTAGAAAAACATTAGATTGGATTGGAAATCTTTATTAAAAATAATTGGATTTGAATATTATTCCAAAGAATCTTCTTGTGGTACTGAGAAGGGGAAGCAGAGACAGACACACAGACAGGCCGACAGACAATAAGAATCCACTATGTCCTAACTTTCTCTTCAAGCTGACCAAGACCAGATAACAAGTCAAGCCTTGTTACCAGCAGTGAACCAGTAGCCCACAGACTCACAATGCACACATATTTAGATGCGTAAAAGTGACCCTGGATTTGGTGGAGGTTTTTACCATTTATTTCTGAATGTGCAAACCCCTTGATTCATGAGTATTTGAAAGGCAGCTGGTACTTTGTTGCTATTTCTCAAGAATGATTTTGCTAAAGGATAGTTTCGTTCTTTATGGTCAATGTTAATATAAAAGAAGCAAAGTCGGATCATTTTTAATGCTCACTTTTATGAGATTCTAAATGTTTGTAACATTTAACTTGCATATGAGTATGATGTTTATGTAGTCAGGAGGTGGCTGTTTAGCCAAAACACCAACTTTTCTACTTAGAGGAGGAGCAGTATTGTATTACTGGGTTTTATTATGTATCTCTGGAGTATTTCTCACTTATAGAAATATCACCAACAAGATAACAGCAACATGTCCTTGTTAAAGAATTTTGTATTTTGAAGAATTGCAAGGAGCCAACCAACACACAGGAGAGGGTCTGAGGCTCTAATCAGTAGTAAGGCCTTTTCTGACATGTCAAAATGGGTAATCTACTGCATGCCTTTCTATTAGCCCTAAAAGAAAGTATAATGGGTTTTTCCCCTTACCCCCTATTTTTAGGCTTTATCTACCAAGAAACGAATTGGATAATACCCATAAATCAAAAACATGGAAAATTTATGGTCCAAAGTTTGCAGTAGAGGTGTATTTTGATGAGACAAACTCCACCAAGGTTGTCTAGCTGTTGAATAAGTGCACTCCCCTTCGTGGATAGAATCATGTTCTTCCAGATCCATGCTACATAGTTATGTCTTCGAACCTGTTTTTGATGGTATGTCTGGATTTTATATATATGTGTGTGTATATGTATGTACATATGTTTCTGGGAAGTATATTAAATGTATACAGGAAAATTATGCCAACTGTCATTTTTTTCTTTTGAAGGCATATACAATACAGTCTTTCTCTTTTTGAGAGAGGGTTAGACCATATAGCCTTTACTGGCCTGGAATTCACTATGTAGACCAGACGTGAACTCACAAAAATCCACCTGCCTGAGTCCTGGGATTATAGCCATGCACCACCATACCTGGTTGTCTTTGTACTGTTTGGAACAGACAGTACATGGGAGTATCAGGCATCACTTAGAAGAACTCTCAAATAATATATTTTCTGTCAAAATAATAGAGCTCTATAAAAATCGTGTTCTCACAAAACATGTACTTACGGGTTTCTGAACAAGTATGTATTCTGTTTTATACTTGTGATTTGCTTCTACTTGAGTCACAGATTGTTCAGATACACCTGATTAGCTGCAATGCCAAAGTTTTTGCTTTGTTCTGATGTTTATTTCACCTGCATACTTGTGCCTGTATGTGCTTGTGTATGTGCCAGGGTGCATCCGTAGCCAGCAGAGGGTAACTGTAGGAGACTGTTGTCGCCTTCCATCAGATGGGCTCTGAGACTGAACTCAGATCCTCCGGTTGGTTCGGCAGCAATCCCCTTTTCCCACTGAGCCATCTCCCCAGCCAAACAAAACCCATGTTTTAAATGTTTTAAATCCTGAGAAGGAAAAAGCAAACAAAACCCCAAGGCCCTCCCTGCTAGCCCACTTTCCCCTTTCTCTAGCAATGCACAGGTAGCTTACGTGACAAACTCCCTTTATGACACACACAGGAAGGATGAAGACGAGAGTAAACATGAAAAGCGAAACCCTCGGTGATTCCCACTCGAGTGTAACACTAAGTGAAGCTGAAGGAAGCTGAGGGTCTACATGTATTACAGTTCATTGCTTCTGCTCTCCTAAACCGAGCAACTGAGGAAAGTTGCCTTTGAGCGCTGGTTAGCTTTGTGTCACACGGGATGCATTTTCTGTTTGGTATCAAGTGCTGCTTCATTCCAAGCCCCCGTGTGGACACAGGATCTCAAAGCCATGATGGTCCTTGAAAAAAAAATGCCATCTTTGGCTTCACTGAAACAAACTTGATTTGAATTTTCCTTCTTATTAGTAAGGATGTCAACAATTCCAGCCAAGGTGAATTCATCTGGAAACGAATGGTCGCAGCTAGTAAGACTCTTATCTGCTGTCACATCAGAGACACCGTGTAAGAACTGTCAACAGATGAGTCTGTCATTATGCAAAGACCATAGTGACTCTCCATAAAATAATGACAACTACCGGACAAAATAATCCTACAGGACCACATGTACACTGCCCTCATTGGCAGAAATAACACTATGCAGGGCGTGGCCGTGCAACGCCGGAAACACCCTGCATTCTGTGGAAATAGCACTAAAAACAATAGTCCGTGAACATGAGTGGGGTTTGGGGAAGATCACTGCGGTCAAGCATCTGCACAGTCGGTACAGGTAGTTACACTCAGAACTGCAGTCAAACATCTGTAGTCAGTTCACAGTAGTTACACTCGGCCACTGGGTCAGCAGCTCAGAAGTCTGGAAAGGGAAACTGTATTTTGTTTTGAATGGAAAAGAGTATAAAAAAGGGCTGTGGTCGCCTTGGATGTGACTCAAGCCAAGTTTCCCTGGGAATGGGAAAGCAGCAGTCTGAGAGAACTGGCAGGGGGGGTTGTTTGTTTGGGGGTTTTTTTGCCACCTCTTTCTTGCCATCCTAAATATCCCCACAAAGGTCCTCACCCTGTCCTCTCCCAGTCTGGTTCTTCTCCAAGGAAAAACACTTTCCACATTATTGTTACTATCTCCCATAATTCCAGTTATGGAAACATGCCTTGGGGCAGGACAGGCTGCACGCTACTGTAATTTGTAAGCAGCATGATCCACAGGCAGATTGAGTCCATGGTGGGTTAGCTTTGTAGCCTGTCACACTGGCAACAAGGACAGAAGAAAACTTCAATTTTCAAAAAGTGCTTTTAGCCCAGTGATGGTGGTACACCTTTAATCCATTTAATCCCAGCACTCAGAAGGCAGAGGCAGGCAGATCTCATATGAGTTCGAGGCCACCCTGGTCTACAGAGTGAGTTCTAGGTCAGCCAGGGCTACACCGATAGACCCTGTCTCAAAAAATAAACCAACAAGCAAAAGTGTTCTTTGGAAAGAGGTTAATGTTGAGGTTTCTCTCTCACCATTCCAGACTCACCAAAATCTCTGACAGTTAAAGGTTTCCATGTTATTCTGGTTTTGTTCCCATTAAGAAACTTGTTTAGACCTTTTGCTGTTCTGCTGTCCTAGACACCCAAGTGATTAATTCTTAGAACAAACTGAGAAACTCATCTCAATATAGCTGAATGATGCTACTTGTCCTAGGCAGAATTTACCAACCTGACATGGAATTATCCCAATTGCAAAGCATTTGGGGCAGAAGCGTGTGGGACATGGTGTTACACACATGCAATCAGCATTTGGGAGGTGGAGGAGAGATGGCCGCCTTCAGTTCAAGGCCACTCTGTGCTTCATAGTGAGACCCAGTCTCAAAACCCCATCAAGAAAAACAACCTTCCTAAACTTAATAGCAAGTACTTCAACTTAAAAAGTACTTCTTCTAAAAAGTAGAGACAGTGACTTCTTCTAATAGCAAGTACTTCTTCTAAAAAGTAGAGACAGTGAGGGGCTGGGCAGGGTGGGGGCTGGGCAGGGGGGGGGGGGGGCGGGGGGGGGGGGGGGCTCACTTAGTAAAGAGCCTGCTAAGCAAACCTGAGGACCTGAGTTCAGATCTTAGCACCTGTGCAAAGGCTGGGCACAGCACTCATCTGCAACCCCAGCACTGGGGGACCCAAGACAGGGAGATCTAAAGGGTTCGCTGGCTTGCCAGTCCACTCAGCCAGCTCCAGACCCAGTGAGAGCCCCTCTCCCCTCCCCCATCACCATTTCCCACCCCGTCTCAAAAAAGCCTAAGGCAGACTTCAATAGAAGCAGGCAGTTTGGTCAGGTTCCCAGCACCAGGCAAGATACTCCCTTGCTGAGGAGGCATTCCATCCAGTTAAAGTTGTTGATTACCACCAAAGTGTGTGTCCCACCAGTGCTCTGTGAGGGTTACTATGCCACACTGAAGTCATTCGGCTTGGAGGAAAGCCTACTAAACCGGCATAGCTAACTACATTCTAAGCATTTGTCTTTATACGCAGGCAAGTGCGGTCCTAACCTCTCACCAAAGACACGTCTCTCTGCAACAGACAGAGACCATTACAGACAGCCATAACCGATCACACTACAGAGCCGTGGAGCCCAGTCTCAACAGATACATCTCCAGCTCCTGCGGCTCAGATTTCACTGCAGAAGAGTGGGTGGGAACACTGTAAGAACCAAAGGATCACGGAGTTTGCTGTCAGATTGCATCTCCTTGAGATGTCACAGCAGCTACACCCATGAAGCCTCATAAACATGGCTGCCTAAACAAGGTCGGAATAAGACACCAACAGATAAGATAATCAAAATGAGAAAGCTCACCAGGCCTCATTCCTAGACAAAGAACTACAGGCAACTCAGTGCTGAGAGCAGGAGTCTTCTCCAGGGATAAGCACACCAATAGGTTATCCAATACCAAATGGTCAGCCCTGAAAACATACAAGTAACATTGTATAAACCAAGCAGGAGCAAGATACATATATGCTGTATATGTGTATGTGTGTGTGTGTATGTGTGCCTGCCTGTATATGTGTATGTATGTATTACAAAGAGAAAGGCCATGAATTTGAATGAGAGGGGAAGATGGGAGTATATGGTAGGAAGGAGTAAAGGGAAAGAGGAAAATAATGTAATTATACAATAATCTCAATTCTAAAAGTTATTTTAAAATATAAGGAGGGTAGAAGAAAACAGGCAACCTCTGGCTGCCACACAACTCACATGCGCACGCACAAACACACACACTCACAATAAATGAATTGGCCACCTTAGTCACCATTCTTTTACTATGTACAGACACTGTGACCATAGCAACTCTTAAAAGGGAAAGCATTTAATTGGTAGCTCGCTTACAGTTTCAGAGGGTTACTCCATTATCACAGCAGGGAGCACTCAGGTTGCTAAACTCTGGGCCTGAGCTTTACAATCTGGGCTACAGGCAGCAGGGAGAGGCTGGGCCTAGAATGGGTTTTAAGAACCTCAAGACCACCCACAGGGACACACTTCCTCCAATAGGCCACGCCTCCCAATCCTTCTAATCCTATCGAACAGTTCTATTCCCTAGTGACTAAACATCCAAATATGAGACTATGGCCCCATTCTCATCCAAACTGCCATACCAGTGAGGCAGAACACAATTGTAATGGGCTGTAGAGAACAGAAGTAATGCTTTTAAAGAGAAGGAAGGGAAGAGAAGAGAAGAAAAGAGAAGGAAAGAAGCCAGGCAGTGGTGGCACATGCGTTTAATCCCAGCATTTGGGAGGCAGAGGCAGGCGGATTTCTGAGTTCGAGGCCAGCCTGGTCTACAGACTGAGTTCCAGGACAGCCAGGGCTACACAGAGAAACCCTGTCTCGAAAAAACCCAAAAAAAAAAAAAAAAAAAAAAAGTAATGCTTTTCTGTCAACCTGCCTACAGTAAACTGATTTTACACCAGGAATCTAGCTGCCAGAAAGAACACTTGTTCCAATACAACCACCCCCTTGAAGTGTTATTATCCCTAACTCTTTAATATTGGTCCTTAATATAAATATAATGTATTTAAGTGAAAGTCATCATAGACTCACATTAGGTTTATTTAATAATGACAGAGCACTCATTTCTTTAAATAAAATATCTCAAAGTTCTAGTTTTGTCTCAAGTGCAATTGTACCCAAACATGAAACCACAAATCAAACCAACAACAGAATGATAATTTTTTTTTTAAATCTCCTTAGGCCTCTGTCTTGCTCTTCCCCTCGTTCCTGAGTATTTCTATGGAACAGACCATAATGGACAGACTGAGGAGACACACTGACAAGGCTCATGTGCATTAGACCCCAGGCACCTAAAAGAGAGAGCTTGCCTTTGGCCAGTCCTCTTCCTGCAGGAAGCCAATCCCCCATGTTTGCTTCAGTCCAGACCTGATCAGATGAAGCAACACTCAGTAGCCATTGGTCATACAAGAACAGAGAGCACTGGAGTAGAAAGACAGTTTTCTCATGAATGCTGACAGTTTTCTTCAGGAATGCTGACAGGCATCCCCCCCTTTTGGGAAATACTTTGCTTTCCTGACTGACCCTTGTACTCCTGGCACTGTAGCAAGGTCAACCTGCCTCCTTCAGCTTTATAAGCAGAATAGGAACAGCTTCTACTGCCATCCCCCTGGTCTTGGAGGAGTACAGACAATGTGCCTGATCTCTGTGGTGATAAGACCCCACAGCTGAAGAATTATCCATCCCATTGGCTGTGGGGGGGCGGAGGATGGGGGGAGTAAAAAGAAATGTGGGGGTTGAGTTTTTTGGTTGCTACATACATACTACCTAGTTTAATAAAAATATTTTTATTATGTCACAATGCTTTCCAAAGTTACATGTCATCTACAGTCATTGAAATTCATACACTGCCTGCTCCAAATATAGAAGCAAATCAAGGAGTTATGGACCCGAAAGTGAACTTCAGGAAGGGCGCCTAATTAAGGAGCTCCTTGGATTTCTCCATTAGTAGAACCCTGTGATCAAAGCTGGGAGCCCAGACTTCCTCTCTGCTTCCTGAAAGGGCTTCTGATTGGTGAAGACAGAGAGACAGTGGGTCAGAGTGGCCTCAAATCCAGTACCAGAAGAGCACCCTGGATGCCTGCTGAGACCAGGTAAGAACCTCTGTGGGTTTCCATGAGAGCATAGCAGGGCAGTCCCTGTCTTTCAGGTGTAGCACAGAGGGAGGAGGACGCTCTGGGTGAGAAGGGAGCTGGTGAGTCCTCTGCTGCCTCCCAGAGGTCTAACACTCTGGCCACACCTCCTAGTACCAGAGTGCAGAATGAGAAGCCCACCTAGAAAATGAACAGCACTGTGAGGGAATGAGGGTCATGAGAAAAATCCAGTATGTCCACATCCTGAAACTTCATCCGGGATGCAGAAGCCACACAACTACGCGTATGCGTTTATCTAAAAATATAGAGGGATGTTTTAGCTTTAATATACCACAAAAAGTTACAGACTCTAACCTCTTAGTGCACAGTACACAGGCTCAGCGGCTTTTAGCAGCAGCCCTCTCTCTAGGATGTGCTAAGCAATCATTTACAATCACCTACATAAAAATTGGTCACCATTTATAATTAAACACAGAACAAAGTTTTGTTTTCCTGTGGTGACAGGACCATCTAAATTGCATGTGTACCGCTGACTTCCACGGAAGTTGTCCTGAGAGGAACACGGTCTGCACAAGACCAGTGCGTGAGGCCACCAGCATCTCTGTACATAAGGCCACCAGCTCCCCTGCACACTCACCAAGGACAAGAACAATGACTTTCCTGTTTTGGTTCAATAATAGGCAGAAATTATACTGTGTAGAATGGAGGACCGTCCACAAAATCCAAGACTTTGAACAGAAGAAGGGACAACAAGGACAAAGTCTGAACGAATCACATAATTCCACATTGTTCTTATACTCCATGAACCCCTGAGTTAACCAGTCACTAAACACCTGCCGTGGATCCAGGTGCACCAGGACACTTCAGTATGCTTCCCACTGGTTCATCATCAACTTCCTGCTGTACTCATAGGCCAAAAACAGTGCCCCATTGGCAGGGAATGCGCGGATCATGGTGGGTTTCAGTCCAGAATACAGGGCTGTTATTCCTGGAAGGCAAAGGGTGATCAAAAGATTGTGACAGCATTCCGTGGGGACACACGTGCACAGAAGAGACTGTGCTCACAAAATCAGAGAACAGCACCGGAACCCACAAGATAAGATAAAGGAACTGGTTCTTACATCCCCGTCCAGAGATTGCAGAAACAAGGTTAAGCAGCAAAGCCCCAGCAGAGCTGGTTGATGCTCGGATAACCGATTTCTATGCCTGCAGGACTCCTGCAGTATAGACATGGCAGAGCTAAGGCCTAACACGGCCAGGGGGAGGTCACTGAGGAGCCAAGGGACCAGCAAGAGAACCCAAGGTGTGTTTCTAGTATTAGCCTGCTCAGCATCAGGAGGGAGACCTGTTAAAGGACTGAACTCAGGTGTGCTGGGCAAAACTGAAGAGGACACTCAGCAGCAGTGGTGATATGCAAGACTCCTGCACTCTATTTGGGACAAGAGTTTAGGCATGTCTCTGTGTCTCTCTGTCACTGTGTTCTCCCTCTCTTTAAACTCAACGAACAGGTTCATAATCCAAGGTATTTTTTTGTTGTCTTGTTTTTCAGATGATGACATTTTGACTATATACATGATCTACTTCTCCCTTTAAATTATTTCATTTTTAAGATTACAGTATATCTTTAGATTACAGTATAATTATAATAATACCAAGATTCCAGTATAATTATATCTTTAGATTACAATATAATTATATCATTTACCACCTCTTCTCTTTATTCTGTTCAGACCTTCCCATAATCCTAGTTTTAAGCTGTCTAAATGGTGGATGCCATAAAGACAGGTCTTCAGTTGCACAAAGGAGATGTCACATAAACATGACTTTAAAAGCCTGGATCCTCCTGCCTTACTCTAAAAACTGATAGCAGATCACGTTAAAAACTGCTCAGATCATTTCTCATCCCGTAAGTCTTATTGCTAAAGATGCTGTACTACATTCTTTCAAGCGAAATAAGAATGTAATACACTCGGTATGTTCTTTCAAAGCCTTAGCGATCCCGTTAGGGCTTTGCATATTTGGATTATGTAAATGAGGTGTGATGCTACCCGATTCAAAACATTCTTCCCTCTAGACAAAGTCTGTATTTTAAAAATCCCCCAAGGTATTTAGAACACAAAGAATCCTGACAGACACATGGTCCAGAAGTTAGAAAAAGAACTTTAGACATTTTTGAGGATAATGAAAATAAAAGCTAACGCAAAAGGTTTGGAGATAGAAGGCGTACACATGAACACAGAACTAGGAAAAAGACACAAGACAGGAAGGAAGGGGAGAGCAGGCCTCAGGGCAGACTGACCCTGGGTCACTGTGAACACTCTGCACCCGTCAGACTCACCTTCATTCTTTACGATACTCAGGAAGGTTCTGATGAGTCCTGTCTGCTTTCCAGTCATAGAAAGAACTTGAATTCTAGATTTGATACAATCCACCGGATACACAGCAAGCCACAGGCAAATCCCACCAAACCCACCACTTAGCATCAGCGGGACAGGACCTAGAGAGGGAGAGCATCCGGTGGTCCTCTGTTTTAGGTGGCCATTTCCAGAAGCACATGTGACACTTACAAGGAGTACAACTTCTTGAAAAATGTTCTGTCTCAGAAGCTGGAGTCTCCCCGGGCCTCATCAAGACCAGCTGATTGTGTCCCCACCCTAACCCTGTCCTCCAGTTGGGGTTGGCCCACCAACAGGTGTCACGTCACAGGAACGGAGAAACAAGCCACTGAAACACAGTCATGTCTTCCTCAAGTTTAACTCCCAATACCCCAAATCTTTCTCTACTGTGACCAAAACGAAAACAAAACCAACCTTTGTGCTGCCCCCTAAACACCACGATCTGCTACCAGGTTTTTAAAATGTACTGCACTGAACAGGTGCAGCTGGGGATGTTTCTTTCTGCAACACTGATGAGCACTGACCGATTTCCTTCATCGCCTGTCGGCCTTACCCTGCTAGCTAAGGTTTTCACGGTAGAAAAAGAACTTTGGGTGAAGATTTAACAGTAAGGTATACAGTTTAACAGCAGAAATGTGTTTAGGCTGTCCAGACAGTATACCAAACACTAGTCTCACAAGTGGTACATGCCTCTTTGTACTGTTGTTTTGGGAGTTTTTTTTTTAATTTAGTTTTGAATCTCCTTTTTTTCTCAGGTAAGGCTGGTTGAGTCTCCCCAGGGAGTTCTGACAGTTTCTGAAGCTATGATGTTTGCTTGTTTTGCTTTCTCCTTGGAGAGAGGTTGCGACATAGTGGAGAAATGGCCAGGAATGCTGTTGAACATCATGCATACACAGGACATCCCACCATCACAGCTTGAGAAATCCTGTCAATTAAACGCCTAAACATAATAACGCTGAGCTCCATCAGGAAGTATTTATTTAATGGATGGTGAATTTTAAAAGAAGTCTGGGAAGCAAACTTATTTGTGATTTGATGTCAGAGACAGGATGTGGTAGACATTCTTACTGAGATGTAATTGCAATGACTTTATTTAAAGATTAGGCAATCTTTAAAAACAAGTTTCTAAACCTGTGAGATTATTGATAGCCAATTTCTCCATTGGGAAAAAAAAATCTCTTTATTTTTTCCTCTAAAATGGACCCAGAGTGGTTACTACCACCCAGAAGGAGAAGGGACAGCAATAACTGTATTAATGTCAGGAAAGAGGTTTGGGACACAAAGGCTTCAGAGCTCATCTTCAAAAGTCTCCCTCAGGAGATGGTGGGCGCCAACACCTGCTGCTAGTTTACTCTGGGGCATCCAGAAACTCCCCAGAAAGGTTCACACTGAACATATAACCTATGGAAGCCAGCAAACCCAGGAGGCAGAGTCTACTAAACCCAGTGTCATCAACGTGAATACATTTACCGAGTTCATCCTTTGATCTCCCTGATGCGAAAAATGATCTGCTCAGTTCATAGCCACCGAAGAAGAAGAAGTAGCCAGGTACTTCTCGAAGTAAAGTGCTTGAGAGTCCATGGTAGAAGCCTAAGGGGCCGTCCTTCCTGAAGATTTCCTTCACAACCGACCAAACTGTACTGAGGGAGACAAAGCAGGAGGCACGGTCAGAGCAGGCGGGAGAATGTGTGTGCATGCAATGAAGCATGCAGTGAGACTGTTGTACCAAGGATGACTTATGCGACCAACTTTGCTGTAACTGTGTGGGTGCTTTCCTGTGACCTGCCTTCTCTTCAAAGGACACCTGTTAGACTTCTTGGTACTTCTGTTCAACAAACCAGCTGCTCCCTTACTCAGGCCTGCTAACTGGGTATACATTTCTCTAAGTCACACTGACTAAGATGTAAAAGGATTACTACCTGTTTTTCTGACAGTAAGTAATAAGGAATCAGAATAGAGTCATCCAAATCAGGCAGGAGGTAAACAATACTTGTCTTCCTAATGCCCGGAGGCCCAGCTCCTCAAGCTTTCTGGTGTACTAGTTACTTGTAACAAAGTATCTGACAAGATGCAAACTTAAGGGAGAAGGGGCTTGATTTTTGGCTCACAGTTCAGAGGGGTACAGTCCACGATGGAACAAAGTAGTGGCAGCAGGAACCTGGGGCAGCTGGTCACATGGCATCTGCAGTCAGAAAGCCAGGACCAATGACCGCTGGTGCTTAGCAGACTTTGTCCTTGTATGCAGTCTAGGACACAGGGGTGGTAAGGGTACCACCTACTCTTTAGGTGGATCTTCCTACCTCAGGTGACTGAATAAAGATAATCTCTCACAGATGTGCCCTAACCTCCTAGGTGACTCTAGATTCTGTCAAGTTGACATTCAACAGTGACCATAATACATACATACACACACACACATATATACACATATATACATATATACATACACACACACATACACACACACACACACACATGTATGTATTTTACTTTGGCACAGAGAGTGTCGCTTGAAGGCAAGACAAGAAACTCTCAGGGTCGAGCTACAGCCTTTGGGATCCCAGGAACACCCAGAACTGAGTCTCCCCAGCAGGGGTGAGGGTGAGCGGGGACTGCAGAGGAAGTCCCTTTTGCAGATGAGCCCTGCCCCTGGAGCAGCATCAGTGCCAGACAGCCTGAGCCCACATCGCCACAGAGTGCCGTGAGTCATGACAGTCACGCCTTAAGCACCCAGGAAGACAAAGCGGGGAATATGGCTCCTTGGTGCCTCCATTTCTGCACTATTAAGTAACTGCCTAAGACGCCCTCCAGGGTAGGCAGTGAGTCCAAACACAAGAAACAGTCTTTTCAGAAATGTATCCCCTGCCACCATATTTTAGAACAGAGAAAGCTGTTTCTACACTTGCCACTTACTTCTAACATTAAAAGATAAAAACACAGTACACGCAGATGAAGTACTTAACACCTGTGAATGAACAGTGCTTACTTCTGGCTGGCCGCTATCTTTCCCGAGGTCTCCATTTCATACATGGTCTGGAGCCGGCACTTCACAAGCTCTGTGGGGCAGAGGACCAGCGCGGCAAAGGCAGAGGCAAAGGAGCCAGCAGCTGCGTTTTGGAGGTCACTGAAAAGACAGAGAAGGCTTATCACCATCAGCATCCCGTCCCTTCAGCACACCAGAGCGAGCACAGGGAGATGAGAAGGGAATCTACTTGTGCTGTCCCATCTCAGGATCCCAAGACCCTGAGGCAGACAGCAGTATTCCGGCTCCATATAAGGAATGGCACCTAGAGGCAACATGTCCCCAAAGCCACACATATACAAAGTGGCATTCTAGGCATCAAACCTAGGTCCGCCTGACTGCCACATCCGTGCTTAAGTCCTATCCCCAACTCATATGCTGAAGACTGGTGTGTGATAGTATTTAAAGCAAGGTTCCGTTTTTTTTTTGGGGGGGGGGGGTTCATGATAGGGTTTCTTGGTCTAGCCTTGGCTGTCCTGGAACTCACTTTGTAAATCAGGCTATCCTCCAACTCACATAGACCCAACTGCTTCTGTCTCCTGGGTGCTGGGATTAAAGGCATATGCCGATGCCACCCAACAAACCTGGGTTCTTAAGAGACAGTCAGGAATAGCTGAGTTCCTGAGGATGGGACCTTCATCATGAGATCGATGGCCCAGAATCTTGCTCTCTCTCTGCCAAGTGAGTACACAGTGACAAGTCATGACTGAACCAGGAATTGGGCCTGCTGGCTTTGACTTTGCAGCCTCCAGAATTTTTGTTTGTTTAAGCTACCCAATGGATGGTGTTTTGTTTAGTAGCCCGAGTTAAGGCACATAAAGAAAAAATGGGGAGGGGCCATAGGAGAGAGAAGGAATGTACCTACAGTCCACCACCCCAAATATATTCTACTAATACCTTCATTTATTTGTGACAATGTTCCTTTTGGCCTAAACCCAACCTGGAATAACCATACATGTCATATAACTACCACAGATAAAAAAGAGTCTAGATTTTTTTTTGTGATCACAAAAAGATTTCCCAATTCAGTTATGACCTCTGATAGGATTTGACATGGTTTGCAAATGCTACCCAACAGTTTGTGTAATGGAAGCTTGGTCCCTTGTGTCTTCTGGTTGAGGTGATGGGACCTTTAAGAGGTGGGGCCTACCCATGGAAACACCCAAACTTGACAGCCGTTGCCAGTGTTCTTGGCTACTCTCCACAACCTGACGGTTGCTGAAGACAACACTTACTATGTCATCAAACACAGAGATGTCAAGCTGGTTCCCCACCAGAAGCTCCTGACTAGCATTCATGGTACTAAAAAGTACTTTGCACACTCCTAGAGGAGAATCTCAATCATCAATAACTCACAGTTACAAACCCTGTAACCTACCACAGCGACCTGACTGCAAGATAGACACAATATCTGCAGTAGGGCACAAATGTCGAGGAAATAGACAGCTGTCAGGAAATCCTGCTGCTAAGGTGGAAGTCTGCCATCACCAGACAACCCTGAGCTCAGTGCAAAAAGGCAGACTCCCTTTGTGAGAGGGCTTTCTCTTCCCTGGGGGATCCCAGCCCCACATTGCCTACCTGAGGCATGTCACATAGTCCTACACCTGAGATTCCTAGAATGCCTTCCCATGCTATTGAGGCATCTCAGTATCTTAGCTTTCAACCTTTGCCCTGGATAGTCTCACCTCCTTCCCCAAAACTAGATAACTCTTGGTTCACCACAAATAAAGTATTCGCAAGCTGATTCATCGAATAACCTCTGAGAGAGCTGTTCCATTCAATGTTGTCTAAAGGAGCTGTATCCAGAGGAAACCGCCTCTCTCTCCCCAAACGACCGAGGTCACCCCGTCACCGGGATCATGCTGACCCACACGTTCTGGAATTCCCATCCTTTCCCGCCTGGTGTGCACTGGAGTCCAGACACAACAAGGGAAAACGTGGACTACAGATAAATTGGTTCTATTCCTTCCTTCCTCATTCTGTGCACAGCGGCTCCTGGACACCACAAGGGAAGAAACAGAAAAAACAGAACCACGACCAACCACCTTCCAATCAGATTTAAGGCGTACTTGAAGTAGACAACGTGCATTAAGTGAGAGACTTTGGACCACTTCATCCTAAGTGGGATGTCTCCATCCAACCCCTCCCCTCAAGGGATCTGTGTGGAAGGATGTGGAAAGACTGGAAGAGCCAGAGGGGATGGATGACTCCAGAGAAACTGTGTCTTGCAGACACAGAACTGATGGGTTTATAAACTCACAGACTGTGGCAGCATGCATGAGACTTGCACAGGCTCAAGCCAGATAAGGTCCCAGCACCGAGAAAGGGGTGGTGGGCACAGGCTCCCTCCCTACTGCCGCCATCTGACACCTGGCAGCAAGGGAAAACTTACTTTTCTCCAGTGGCGTGTCCCTGGGTATATTCACTGTCCTTCCCTGATGTGCTTGGACACCATAAAGTGAACTACGTGGCGTTTCTGTAGACTTTTCATTTTGCTGTGTTTGGGCATTTTGTTTTGTTTGCTTCATTGGTCTTTAGCTTGTTTATTTTGACTTTCATTTTTGTGGGGTTTTTTTAAATGTGTTTTATTTGTTGTTTTGTTTTAGAGGGGAGAGGAAGCGAAAAAGAACATAAAATTAGGTGGGTTGAGAGGTAAGGAGGATCTGAGAAGAATTGGGAGGATGGAAAAACATGATCAAAATATCCTGTATGAGAAAATTTTCAATTAAAAAGAGGTGGGGCCTAGGGTGCCGCCATCCTTAGAGGGGACTAATAGAGTTCTCAGGAGACTGCAGTTAATTCCCACGAGAGCAGAGCTCCCTGGAATATCTGGTGATCTCTCCTCACACATTCCCACCACGATTCCATTTGCAATGCGGTCACACAGCCAGAAGACACCCTTGGAGAACCAAGCAGATGGCAGCCCCGACCGAGCTCCTGCACCCCCAGACTACGGTGAGCTAAACAAGCTTTTCTTGCTTCCAACGTTGGCCTTGATGTTCCGGAAGTCTCACCTCTGTGAGTTAAGACAGCAGCTGTTTTCTACATGCTGAGCTGGTCTCTCTAACACTCCAGGCCTCAGGAGAGCAGGCTCACCTTGGTGCTGTCAGAAACAGGGCTGCTGTTTGCTGGGTGGGCTTCCTTTTGACCATTGAGAATTAAGCCTACCGCCATGAACCAAGAAGAGCCAAGCAGGTATACCGACGGACGTCCTAATACAGAGGCTTCTGTGACGTGAAGGGTGCATCTTGTGCTGCTTAGTTTTCTCCTTCACGGCATTCCTTAGCTCATTTATTAAAAGCTAAGGCTTCAAATGGTCTTTTGGCCAGCCTACAGACCATATTTGACCTTCCTCAGGGACTCTCTATCAACCTGCTGACAGGCAACTCTCAATTAGGGTCATTACCGAGAATGTGCCAAGTTTGCTAGAAAAAAAGGTATCAGTCAATAAACATGGAAGTCAGTTCAACCTCAGGGGTTGGGATCGTTCCAGAATCTGAATGAACAGAGAACATCTTACGAGTGTGCAGGGAGAGGCCAAATCAGCGCTTCCATGGACTTTGGCTTTCTCATAAATACTTTCATCTTCCAGTACACAAAATAAGGCCCACAGGCCTTCGGCTGTGCATGTAGGATACATTTGTACAACTGGAATTGAAAGTGCACGCAGTGTGGGATGGGGTTTCGTAAGAACCTACTGTAGATGTTTCTGTCTCTCTGGATATTTTTTGCTATGTTGGTCTGTTTGTTTTGATTTCCACTTTTATGGTTTTGCGTGTATGTGTGCTTCTTGCTGTCTTGGTTTGTCTGTCTGGTTTAAAGAGGGAAAAAAAGAATGTAAAGTTGGTAGGGAGGTGGGAAGGATCTGGGAGGATGGGGAGGAGAAAATATGATCAAAATATATGAATTTTGTTTCCAAAAAAAAAAAAGGAAAGGGAAGGAGGGAGGGAGGGTGGGAGGGTAGGAGGGAAGGAGGAAGGGAGGGAGGGCAAGAATGGACCGTTTGTCATCCAGTGAACAAGAATCGTGAACTACATGCCTCTGCTGTGTAAGACCTCATTCAATCAGGTCAAAGTACATGCCACGTTGGGTTCAAATTGGGACACACAAGTGTTTGTGATGTGGTTGCAGAAATCCACAGCAAATGCTTGCTAACACCGTTTCTCTCTGCTGCTCTTGATAAATGTTCCCTCTAGATCTGACCAGTATCCTTGTTAGTGTAACAGAGGATGGGGCAGAAAGGGAACAGTGGACTCAGATGACCCTGTCCTTGACTTCCTTACTGAAGAACTTGTAATGGCTAAAAAGCTGCACACTGTGGGTATCACATGACATCAATATACTCAAAGATCCATACGAGAAAGACAGTAAGGCACTTTCCAGTCCTTTCCCAGTGACTACCTCTTGCTTCTGGAGGGGATGGAGAAACACAACTCTAGTTGTCCTACTGTGCACCATCAGGAAAGCACCAAGTGTATATAGTAACGCACACCTGTCACCCCCATGTGGGAGACTGAGGCAGGATGATGGTGAACTTCAGGCCAGGCCAGGCTACACTGTGGGACTGTGTCTCAAATAAAACACGAAGACAAAGCAATGTGCTCGAGCCAGTCTCTGTTCATAGGCAGAGAAACGGGGAAAGTGAGGAAGGGCACATGGGCCGGATGCCCAAGAGAACCTTACCGAGGTACTAACTGCCTCTCTGGCTCCTCTCATACTTCCCTAAAGAAGCTGAGGGAGATGAACCCAGATGACCTGAACTATAATGTCTCTGCTTCGGCTAGACAAAGCCAGTTGCCTACTGCTTTGCTTCTGTCTCATCTCCCCCGAGGAATGCTAATCTCTTAGCTCTCTGCCTCCTTTGACTCTGCTTCCTGCTCTCTCTTAGCTGGAGGGCTAGAGGATTACAGTCCAGCCCTCCTCTGTCATACTCTGACTCCTTGGGCTATCTTATCCAGTCCTCGGCTTTTAACACAAGTTCTACCCACTGTGATCAAACTCATGCCTATAAAACGGCACATCTGCATCTTGGAGATACCTCCAGAGCACACATCCATGCACAGGCAATCTACTTCAGTTGTGCGCAACCTGTGACTGCAATAAAGGTTCCAATTCCTACTGAGAAAGCAAACAAGCCTGCTCTATGCAAGTGTGTGTGTGTGTGTGTGTGTGTGTGTGTGTGTGTGTGTGTGTACAGCTGTGAATGTATATGGATTTCTTAGAGGCTATACATCTGTTATTTGAAAAAGGATCTCTCACTGGGACCCAGGCCCTAGATCTCTTTCTATCTCTGCCTTCCCTGCACTGGGACTATAAGCATACATCAATTCCAGATTTTTATGTGGGTAGTAGGGTTCTAACTCAGACACCTTGTGTGGTGGTTTAAATATGCCTGGCCCAGGGAGTAGTGCTATTAGGAAGTATATATAGCCTTGTTAAGAGCTGGCGTGGCCTTGTTGGAGGAAGTGTGTCACTGCGGGGGTGGGCTTTGAGACCATCCTCCTAGCCATATGGAAGACAGTCTTCTCCTGGTTCCCTTTGGAACAAGATGTAGAACTCTAGCTCCTTCTCCAATCCCATGCCTGCCTGGATGCTGCCATACTTCCAACCATGATAACGGACTGAACCGCTGGACCTGTAAACCAGTCCCAGTTAAATGTTGTCCTTATAAGAGTTGTCTTGGTCATGGTGTCTGTTCACAGCAATGGCAACCCCCGACTAAGACACCTTGCAAGTACATTAGTAATTAAAGTTTCCCCAGCCCCTCCCCCAATTTAATTTTAAATGAGTCCAAATAAATCAGCATTTGAAGGAAGGATGGCTGAGCACCCCAGCGGCTTATGAATGCGGTTTGGTCTCTGAATGATAAGTACTGAGGGGAAGATGAGGCACAAATGGAAGCTGGCTTACAGGGGAGGGTCAGCCAAAGGAAGCTGGGTCCACCTGTAGCTTCTAAACTCCAAGTGTCTTGTCTAACGTCGCCCAGGTAACCTCTTTCAATGTTCTCTGTGGACAAAAGGTAACCTAAAGCTCAAGTCCCTTCCTTGTCCTACAGTTTTAGCCCAGCACTTCTGTTCACGTGAAAAGCATCTTCCCAGAGGGACCACAGAACACGATCCATTTGGCCTTCTCTGGTTTGCGCCAGGACAGTAAAGGACATCAGAATTGTTTTTGAGAAGGAGACTTTTCTTCTGTAAACGTCATTCAAGTCAAGCGCTCGCTTCCTTTAAGAACGAGTACCAGTGGCCCGACTCACCTCAGTTTTGCCTGCCGGTCCAATCCGACCACTTTGCGGACCACCTGCTGGCAGAAGCCGTAACACATGAAGAGCACCGAGTTCTCTGCTATGTTGGCAATCAGTGCGGGGCTGGTACCCTTGTAGAAGCCACGGAAGCCCACCTGGGAGTAGGTCTTCAGGCAGCAGTCAGTGAGGCCCCGGTAGAGGTCTGGAAACGTCTGCATCTTCACCTTCATCGTGTCGAAGGGCTGCCCGGTCAGTACACATGCTGTGCCCCCTAGAGGTAGGACAGGAGTCTTTAGAATGGTCTGCAGCCATGGACAGGGAGGAGAGAGGCTTGCCGTCCATGGTTAACCAGAACTTTAGCTCCTAATGACTGCCTTTCCTCCAAATCCTCTAGCCAAGCTCAGTAAACAAGTTCTAGCAGGTACCTATGCTGGCCAGCATTGGAGTCCCATCCAAAAGAAATGCATGCTTACCAAGAGAGGTGTTTTGTTTCTACATGCCAAGCCCTGTACAGAGCATACATTTAGGAATCAGCCACAGCGGAGCTGGGTAGGAGTGGAGAGAGATGGTCTGGAACCGGGTTTGACCACACCGTCACAGACAGGAGATATACCTCTGAGCCTCTGTTCTTCATCTGTGCCATCTCAGTGTTCACACAAGGTTAGCACAAACCGGGCTTGATGCAAACCTGAGTGGTTACTAAAACAGCCACTAGCGACATGAGCGAGAAGCCATGTAGAAGGGGCAGTGGTATGATGGTAGAGACAAGTATTTCCTCTTGTCTAGTGTCTAGTAGTTTGGTGGCTACTAGAAAACCATCAGAGTCAAGTGGCGGATAAGGAAAATAAGAGCCTGCTGATTAATCTCTTAATTAGCAAACATGGGACCAAAACATGTTTGGCAAAACATGTGACCCTGAAAAAAAAATGTACTTTAATTTTAACTCTATCAATTAATGATTTGTACTTACTTAGGAAAGACTACAATTACCTTTGCATAGTATAAATGCACTGCAGTCTGCCGTGTACTTTTTTTCCCCACAGCATAAGAATAGCAAATGTCCTAAGTCTAAATTGCATTAGATTGCTTCAGAGAGAATTCTGAACATAAGGATTACAGCAAACTGTGATTGCCCCACAGTATCTGTAGACCCTGGACTAGGACCAAAGTTTTTGGGACATACTGCTGGTTAATATTTACCTCCCTCCTGTGGCCTGGAAGGCCCCATGCTTCAGACATCCCTGCTTAGCTCAGGAAACATCATGGTTATGTAGTGAGGCCACGAAAGACCATCAAAATGGAAAGCTTACACAAAATATTTAATAATGCGATTTCTCAGCTCTGATATTACATGCAGTTATTCCACCTGTGTGGTGGGAAGCAGAGACGGCAGGTATTTACTTACTGTTAGCCAAGTGATACTTCCAAAGACTCTGACCTGGCCTATTAAACAATCAAAATGACACTGGGATATAATTCACTAAGCTGTTACAGCAGAGTGAGTGGCACATGCCTGTAATACCAGCACCCAGGAGGTGGAAACAGGGGAATTGAACGTTTCAGGCTAGCCGGGGCTACTTAGTGAAAACAAATTAAGATGATTTTCCTATAATCAGAACTGTTCTCTCCTACATACTGCTAGGCTGGTTACATGGTCCGAAATATAACAACACAATTTAATTATTCCAAAAGGCCACGTGACTTGTAGGACTTTTAGAGTGCACAGTTTTGATACAGTGAATGAAGCCTGTAGCTGAACACACATGAGACATGTGAGCTGAGGTGTGCACGCAGCTGGACCACACAGAGATACAGCAGTTGCTATATTTGCTGCACATGCATAATGGTTCTGCATCCGTTCTAGAAGGTAAGAGGCTAATGAATGTTATGAATATAGTAAAGCAGCTTCATCGCCTTGTGAGAGTGGAGCTGAATCTCAGGAGTGTGCATCACAGGACTCTGTTCTGGTGCCTAGCCCAACCTCAGCCAGCAAGAACAGGGCCTGCTGCCTAGCCCAGCCTCAGCCAGTAAGGACAGGGCCAAGTCAACTCACAGGCTTGTATGTCAGTAACGCAAGAACAGTGGAGGTTTGTCCACTTGCAGAGAAGCTGTATTTCTGATCATTGTCTTCTCCTTGAAGGAGAGATGAAAGGGCTCTGTCTCCTTTAGGGGATACCACAGGCAGCTCCCCTCACTTACTCTTCGGGAGAAGATGCCAAGACCAGATTGAGACCAGATCGTTCCGTTTAACTAATAGTCACTGAGGGAGATAATCCTGACTGTCGGCTTGGCTGCCTCAAGAAGCATCTAAAAGACTAATAAAGCAGACCTCTGGGTATGACTGACTTTCCAGAGAGCACCAAGGGAGAAAGACCCACCCTGAAGCACCACAGGCTGAGGTCCAGGTAAAACAGACACGTTAGGCGGAAAGAGAAAGGAGAAGAGCAGAGCAGAGCTGGGTCTCTGGGCGTGCGCTCGCGCGCGCGCGCGCGCGCTCTCTCTCTCTCTCTCTCTCTTTTCTCCTCTTTCCTCCTTCTCTCTCTCTGTATGTATGCATCCATGTATGTATATATGTGTACATGTGTATGGATATATATGTGCATAAATCTGTATGTATGTACGTTTGTTTGCATATATGTATGTATGTTTCTATGTGTACACGTATACAGGCATATGTGTGTGATTTTTGTCTGTATGTTTGTATGTGTACATGTGTATAGATATACGTGCGTGCTTTCTGGATGCTACCTCCTCCCACCATGACCAAGTGAAACCTCAAACTGTGAGCCAAAGAGAAGTCCTCCCTCCCTCTGGCGGATTTCTTTAGATGTTTTATCAGTCCAACAAGGAATCTGTCCGGCAGGGTCAGGCACAGTTTTCAATATATAAACAGTAAATCACGCAGTGTTGAGGTTAGTTATCAGGGAAGGAAGAGCTTACAGCAGGACAAGCAGGTGATCCCCAAACCCCCAAGTCAGCAGAACAACATACATACATACATACATACATACATACATACTACATACATATATACATACATGACATTCTGCTCTACTCTTGTCATTTTAACACTAAGAAGATAAAATTTCAAGGCTATAAATTTCCTCCTTTCCCAACCAGTGTGCCAGCTAATGAGACCTACTGCAAGAACTGCCAGGGGCTGTGTTTTCCCTGATGTGAGGGAGATACTAAACCAACTCAAAGCATCACCCAGGGCTCCTTTCCTGGATAGCTATATCCTGTTAGTGTCACTCAAATATCCGAAGGTGCACAGTCAGGAGGAGGCAAGCTTTTTAAAGATTCTTATAATAACGCCCTGTTCTTAGGCTGACGTAAGAGCACAGGACACTGGCATCTGAGAATCTCTCGAGGCTACACACCTTCTTACTGCAGAAGCAAGATTCAAACTTCCAAGATTCCGCTTCCATGATCCACACTGCCTCGCTTTAGTAACTAACCAATGCCCTAACCCTAATTTCTCTTCATCCTAGCTACCCAGGGCTCCTTTCCTGGACCGTCTCCCACAGCAAGGGCAGGTCAGACCAAAGACAACTTCTGAGCACTTTCACAGGAATGAGCTGGTTGGGAAACTTGGCTCGCAGGAGCAGCTTTGCTCACAGTCAAAAGGAGACAGAAAGAATATATTTATATTTTTATATTTATATTTACATTTACCTCCCATCATGAGCCTTGACCACAGCCGACTCTGTGCTCACAGATACATCTCTTGCACCACGGAGAAAGAGCGGTGGTCAGGGAACACTAGGGGTGCTCTATCTGCACAAGCAGGGAAAATCCCAAACCCTAGGAATGTGCCAGCCCAGAGAGTCAGAGTAGCAAAGAGTCCAAACTACCTCGTACGTCAGAGAAGGCTGCTGCCCTACTAAGCACACTATAACAAAAAGACAAAACATGGAACCAAGAACTGGGAGATGTTCTACATACATAGCAAACATCGCTACAGTGCCGTAGTTCTGTAAGGCTCCCTATCAACCAAACTTCGGGACCCTTAAAAGTGAGATTACTTCTTCCTACTGAATTCGGGGTACCTAACAATAGAATTCTGAGTCATGTCACTAATGAGCACTTCTTTTGACCAGCCCCCCCGAACAAAGCCCCTACCCCTGCCAAGAAACTTTCGCTGAGAAATCACAAAATTCAGTGTCTCTGGGCACAGCCTTTTGTTTCCAAGCCTAAGGACAGACCCTAAACCGCAGGCAGCAGCACCACTTTAATGTCAATATATAGACAGCTTATCATCATTTAAAAAAGAAAAAGCCCACCAGTACGTCTTCTACGAGGCTCCCGACAATACCGTTACAATGTACATAAAAACAAAGGATACCCTGTTAGTGCCGCTCAAATATCCGAAGGCGCACAGTCAGGAGGAGGCAAGCTTCTTAAAGAATCTTATACTATAGCCTTGTTCTTAGACTGAGGTAAGAGCACAGGATGTTGGCATCTGAGTGCTGCCTCCTCGCCAGACCTAGTTGGATGTGCTTTGTCATCTACAGTCAGCAGCCTCCGAAGTACAGCATGAGGAACATGGGGAGGGAATGGGGTCCCCGGGATCGCCTTCTCCTCCCTTCTACAGAGTAGGAGAGACCGACCTGAAGACCCACAGTGGTTAGTAACACTGGGGTACAACCTTGTGTTGGGCCTGCCCATCAGACTGGCACACTCCTTGTCTGTAATCTGGAGAGGTCCCGTATCTCAGGGATCCTTATCAGCCTTCCTCTAGAGCCAGCTTCAGCTGACCTTTGGTTCATGGAGGGGGGTGGAAAAGTTGGGGGAGGAACAAGACAGGAAATTGTTGTCTGTACAAGGATTTTTTTTTTTTATAAGCGGACAAAGGACAGAGTGAGGAATGGTAGTCAGTCCCCTGACCCCACTTGATCTGTTGATCCTAGAGGTCACAGTGGATAAAAGAACATCACTCAGCATGGTACTATGCCCTCCTCCATTTACACAAATTAATATGGGGTTGGGAGGTATTAGGGCAGATCAAAGTCCACTTGGGAAACACACCTTCCAGTTGCCTCTGCCTCTGAGATGACACAGAACTCTGGAAATAAAATGGCAGCTCTTTTTGCTCCAGGCTAAACCCCCCATGCCTGAATGTTAAAGGTGGTCTTTCCACAGTGGCCTCAAGTCACCAGCCCTGGCTTCAGTCCACCCTTCGGCTCAGGCTCTGAGGGCCAGCCTCCGTACCAGGAGACACCTTGGAATATCAGCCTCATTGCTAAAGGGGGCCTTCCTTTCTTTCTTCTCACCAATAAGAACAGCAACAGGGAAGCTGGAGAACTGGCTCAGCAGTCAGGAGTGCCTACTGCACTTCTAGAGGAGCCAGCTTTGATTCTCAGCACCCACATGGGTGGCCCGCAATGACTCCAGCTCCAGAGGATCTGATACCCCTTTTCCAGCCACCTCAGGCACCTGCTCACAGGTGGCAGATTCGCACACAAACACATACATGTGACTAAAAACAAAAATAAATCCTAAAAGAAAAAAAAAACTCAAAAAAACAAACAAACCAGTAGCTGGCATTTTGTACTACACAAGATCTGAAGACTGTCCTTCTTGGGGTACTGCTGCCACCTTTGTATCCTAACGTGACAGGCGGTAGCCAAGTGACTTCATTTTGGAACTGAGATGTTTTCTAGCAATCCTAGAAATTTCCATCCTTCACACTGTCTGGTAAAGCTTTAATATAATTAAACACGACTGGATTATACTTGCTGACGTGCTATGAACAAAATCACATTTCTGTTAAATTGATTCATCCTGAGGTTAAAGCATATTACCTGTAGGGTAACAAAGACTGTGTTTCTAAGCCACTCTGAGGAACTACTTCAGGGATACAGGAGGAAGAATCTCCCCTCCCCCATTACCTGCAGCCCCTGCTGTGAGGTCAATCGCAGCTTGGATGGCCGGATTGGACTTCATGGCGTTAATGGTTTGCGTGAAAGGCAAGTCTCTGGAGGGAAGGATGTGTACCACATATCCCTGGGAAGAGGCAAAAATTCAGTTAGCCCAGCCTCTGCAGTCCCCCATTCTAGAAGCCCGCTATGTTACTGAACCGTAACTTCCAGGAGTGGGAACATGGGGTACTAAGGAGTCTTGATGTAGCAACATTAACAACAAATACCAAATAAGGACAGAGTGAGGGATGGTAGTCCCCTGACCCCACTTGATCTGTTGATCCAAGAAGTCACAGTGGATAAAAGAACATCACACGGCATGGTGCTATAGCCTCCCCCATTTACACAAATTAATATGGAGGCTGGGTATTAATCTCAAATGGCCCAGACCACAGCAGACTAGAGTTTCAGAGGCCTGTGACGAAAGTCCAGTCTACCAAGCTCAGTCTTAAATTCCAACAGCAGCCTGTGCTCCTCAGCGCCAGAGCCTAGGAGCTCCATTGAGTCACATGGCTCCTAAGCCGGAGGTCTTCATGTAGACAAGGTGGGTTATAGAATTACCACATACAGGCGGTCATAAGTGCCACGAGGTCCACAATAGGGCCCTGGCCCTGTTCTTGTCACCTCCACTCCATCAAATCTCAGCAGTAAATGTGTATGTAGATTTACCTAAGGCCTTGCTACAGTTCAGATTCCGACTCAACAGGCCTCAAGTAGGACTAGAGGGGGTCTCCTAGCCTAAGCTCCCAAGAAGACTGATCATGTGAGCCACTTTGGTACAACATGTGGACTTCTGGGTTTCAATTTTGCTTGATCAGAATCCCAGGGTTATAGCCCAAAGAGTCAAACTGCTAAAGGCTAGGGTTTGGGGAAACAAAGTCTTTGTCTACCTTTAGACAAAAATCAAAACAAAACAAACAAAAAAAACCCTTTCTGAGAATGACCTTAATATTAACTAGAAAGGACGATGACTCAACATACAAGATCCAAGTTACCAATCATCCAAAAGTATTCTGTATGTTCTCAAAATACAGAATTCATTTACATATAACAGAGGACAATTTTACTCATCACAGTGAGGAGGCTAGCTAGTGTGTTAGGCCAGGGTTCTTTCAAATACCAAAACCAAAAAAAGTCAAGAAAATAACGGCAGAAAAAAAAATGTCAATGACTATATTCCAAGAACCTGTCCTTCTTTTAAAACTAGCGACCTGGTAGTTACAGAAACACCTGTGCAAAAACATTTTTGCAGGGAAAGTAAGAGTCAAACCACACGGGGAGCTTCCCAAGTGGTCTCAGACAAACTTAAATGTGTTCATTTGTTTCCACATGAACGATTTTTTTTTTTTTTACTAACTTCGGAGGCATAGAAAAGCGTATCTAATTATGAAGTCACTATAAATTCAACCCCTTCGGATAAGCCAAATGTAAACATTTCAAATCCTAGAAAGATAATATGTGCAGAATTAATCTTTAATCCCACCCCAACCCCCAAGAGCCAAAGGAACAGCAAGTTTGCTGTGAATTTGAGTCTCTTAGAAATGTTAGAAAGGCTAAACCCATGAAGCCTCATCAACTTGGGAAAGACCTACATGAGGATGGTAGCAATATACACTCTAACATACATGAGGAAATCTCGCGGGAGTGGGGAGGAGGGTGTCTCAGCCTTCAACAAAGAACTACATACAAGTAAGGAATGCTGGGGGTGGGGGCATCGTCTTCCCCAGGGAACAGTCCCCCAATTGGTTATCTGCCCTATATAGACAAGTAGCATTGTATGTCCTGAGAAAAAGAGGCCGTGAGTTTGAAAGGATGTTACACGGAAAGGGCTAGAAGTAGAAAAGGGAAGGGAGGAAATGATGTTACTTATGATTTTTAAAACAGATTTTTTATATATAAAAAATGCTTTCCCGTGCTGGGGATTAAACCCGACTTTCTGCATACCAGGAAAGTACTTAGCCTCCTTCTCAGGAGTATCTGTCAAATTACAGAAGATAGAAATGCTACTAACAGATGAACCCAGAAAGTATGCAGAACGACCTGAGTATCACCTGTGGCTTGGAGAGAATGCGGGACCTGCGCAAACCAGACCGGTCCGCACGGATTTAAACTAACTTAGGAGCTGGCTGTACCATTTGGAGTAGAAACCCCGAATCCTTTCAGCGTCTCACCCTCTTTCTGCAAACCACCCAGGACTCCCAGAAACAACGCCAACATTAACTACTTCTGGGTCCCAGGGAGAAAGAACTCCCCCGGCGGTGAAACCAGGTGAGGCTGCGTTTCTCCAGGGAAGATCTGTCTGGGGCTGCAGCTGGGTGGCACAAGGCCGCTTGCCACCACCATCGATCGAACCCCTTGGACCGAGCTCCCGGGCACCGCGGACTGCCAACTACTGCTGCAGCTGCGGAGCGCCTCACCCGACCTGACCCGGATTCCGCTCCGGACAGCGCGCGCGCACTGGCCACCGCGCCCGCCCGACCCTCCGCGCCTCCGGGGACCTCGCTGCCAGCCCGGGGCGCGCGCCCGGTGCCGCAGCACGTGTGCGGCAGGGCGGGGACTGTCAGCCGCGTTCCCCAGCCCGGCCGCCCGCTCCCGCCTGCTCCGGCAGCCTCACCGCTGCGCCTGGCTGTGTCCCGCTCGCCCTCCGCCGCTCGCGCTACGCTGGCGGCCGCCGGCCCCGGACAATTTTTAAGGTCGCCTTGCGGGTCCAGCCCTCGGGCCCTCCCTCCTGAGACCCCTCCACCAGCCCTCCCTCCAGAGGCCACGCCCTCCTGAGGGCCCTCCCTCCAGAAGCCCCTCCCCTACCGGCCCTCCCCACACACAAGGTCCCCTCCGCCCCTCCCTCCCGAAAGCCGGCAAGGAAACGGAAATCTGCTCTCCACGCTGACTGCCAGGGTGGCAGCCTCCAGGAGGACTCACCTTGAGGTCTCCCGGCCTTATCTAGCCCCGGAGGCTGTGGCTTTAACAGTAAATGAGACGTACTAGAATGGTAGCGGTGAAATATAAATTCCCTTATGGGCAGCTTTTAAATCATCTATTTGTTTACAGACAGGGTCTCACATAGCCCAGGCTTAACTTGTTGTGTGGCTGAGGATGGTCGTGAACTTCCCGATCTTCCTACCTCCACCGTCCAAGTGCAGGGCTTACAGGTGTGTTCCACCAGGCTTGGGTCTGTGAGACAGCTGGGGTCAAACGCAGGGCTTCTTCCAATGCGAGGCAAGCACTCTGCCAACAGAGCTACATCCCCAGCCCCTCAGGTTTTACTTGCTTGTCTGATTGCCTATTTTGTATTGCTTTAGGTTTCATTCTTTCACCCGCAAGGAAATCCATTCCCAGGAACATTATGGAAAAGACACTCATGTGAACTGCCGCTACACGTTTTGTAGTTCCCAGCAATATATTCCTGACGCTTTACTTAGAAGCTCAAAGTGGCACTAGAGGGCGCAGAGGTAAAGCACCCTTGCTGCTTATCAACTTGACTCAGCCTAGAATCACATGACAGGAGAAACCTCAGTAGAGGGATTGCCAAAATCCAGTTGGTCTGAAGATAGGTCTGTGGTGGCAATGTCTTGATCAGTAGTTAATGTTGGAGAACCCAGCCCACTGTGGGTGGTGGCATCATTCCTTTGGGAGTCAGTCCTGGATTGGGGGGGAAAAAAGCATCAGGCCAGGGATCAACCAAGAAAGTGAGTCATTAATCTGTATTCCTGAATGGCTTCTGCCTTGACTTCCTGCCTTCTGTCCATTTGAAAGTGAATGCCAAATAAACCTTTTCTTCCCTGGAGTTGCTGTTATGCAACAGTGTTTCATTGTAGCAACAGAATGAAACTAGAATTCTGCTCTTCCAGAGGGCTGGAATTCAGTTCTCAACCCACATCTGGTAGCTCTCAAATCCAGCGCTGGTGTATCCAGCTCCCCCTTCTGGCTTCTGTAGGCATGGGCAGGTACATGCAAGGGTACACACACACACACACAGACTACACACAAATAAAAATAATAAATCTTTTAGAAGTACCATAAAATCAAAAGGAGCTGAGAATACTTAAGGAAACTGGTTCACAGGAGTAATAAAACTATCTTTAATGCTAGCCCAATTCAGTGGAAGATTCTTAGGGTCATCCAACACCTAGCTACCAGCTTCCCAATCGGCTTCAGCCTCCCTGTGTATAAAAACATGCATGCTGATACCCGTGAGGCTGCAAGGGAAATATCGTCCCTAGATCTACTAGAGTTACAGGTGGTGAGCTGTCTTACTGCTGTGCTGGGTCCTCGCAGAGAATAGGGAGTGTTCTTAACTGCTGACCCACCTCCCTGTCCTCTTGAAAACAGCATGTCACAGGCAAAGGACACTGCTCTCATTGAACAACAAAGTGTACTTCAGGGCTGACTTCCAAATGAGCAAACAGTCACACACCGGCCTCTCTGCTCGAGGTAGTGGTGACTACCCTTGGGATTATGCAAGATATCAGTGTGGCTGGCCTATAATGGCAGCAGGTTTGACGCAGGTGAGAGGACAGACAGACTGACCACAGGAATCAAACCTTTGTCGGTGTACCAGAATTTCACAATGGGCAGGTTAATGACATCATGGGGCAGGCGGGGTTGGGGGGAGCTAATGCAGTGTGGAAACTGGAGTTGCAAGCACATCACAAGCACAGAACATCTTGGATTCAAAAGTGCACTCGGTGGACGAGGAGAAAGAAAATAATGCTCTAATTACATAATGTCAATACCCACTACGTATTCTTGACTACTGAGAAAACTTTCGTTGAAAACTCCCTCGGGTCTTGTTTGGTGTCAGTACAACCAATATTTGACACTGAGAAAAGCAAGCATAGATTTTGATTTCTGTAAGACTGTAAAAGAAAAGGGGGAATTTGCATTGGTGAAGTAGTTGTTAGAACAATGTTTGAAAGGGGACAATTTCTTTTACATACGTCTTTTCTTTGGAAATTTTTTATGGCACTTGCAAAAATGGAGGAAGGAAAGTCAGATCCCATGTGTATTTTATGAGCCTTAAATGTATATTTTTAAAGGATAAAATATAATGGCAAAATAATTATGGATGCATCAACAATAGGAAACAGTATGCCATAACTGGGAAAACCCTCTCCTCTCATATATCTTAGAACAAATTTGACTACAGGTAACGATCAATTTGTATATGAAAAGGTATCTAGAAATAGAAAAGGTCCAGGTCAGCCATGTCTGGGTCAGATTTTCCAGATTGCCTTTTCCCTAGTGATTCTAAGACAGCTGGTATTCCGCCGTGTATTGCAGCCTTACATGCATTATCCAGGTAAGAAGGGACCATTTTCACACACTGCCTTTTCATCAGAGGGAAACATATCTCTCCTTCCCGTGAGTTCACAGTCAGACTTCATAATGTGTTCCATTGGCCCAGGACTGGGATTCATATCCTCTCTCAACAACAACAATAATGATAATAGCAAATGGTGGACAGAATAGAATTGCTCATAACTCATGTAGAACAGGACCCAGCAAACTGCTGAAAAGGAATGGCTAACAAACACTGAAGACTTTTCAGGACATGCCGTCTCTACTGTGTGCATGCAGCTTTGCCAGCATAGAGCTGAGCACACTGGGGAGAAGTTAGCACAGCTGTGTTCTGACAAGACAACCTTTGTGCGTGTGGAAACTTCATCCCATATGCATTAGATTGCCTCTCTCTCTCTCTCTCTCTCTCTCTGTGTGTGTGCGTGTGTGTGTGTCTACCTGTCTGTCTGTCTGTCTGTCTGTGTCTGTGTGTGTCTGTGTGTCCATGTGTTGATCAAAAGCAACATGGTTGCATTTACAAGCCAGAGTCCGTGTCTAAGTTTGTGTCAAGTCGACAAAAGCTATGATGACATGTAATTTTTACTTCCCACACTATGTTATTTTTGAGTTCATCAACTATTTAAAGCCAGATTTTTTTAAAGCATTTAGAACAGCCGATAGAATAGATTTGGCTAGCAGGCTTGTCTGTCAAGCAGGTTTAGAATATGAGTCCCTTAGGACTGGAGGAGGGCCCAACTTTCTCTAAGATAAAAGCTTCTTAAAAAGAGAAGAGAAAGCAAGGCTCCCAAAAGTTTTCCAGCAGCAATCTTCTATATTCAAAAAGATTTTACATGACCGCAGGTATTTAGGGAGATAAAACATATATACAAATCTAACATTTACTTATAAGAAGCCATAAGTTTTGTTTTAAAATAAGTCTTCGGTATGCATATAATTTTAACATTTATAAAAGATGAGCACATGTTTGCACACTAATGAGATGCATGTGTGTATTTATTTTTACATAAGGAATTAAATCTAAGTCAAATATTTGATACTGAAGAACACAGAGCATTGTTGATATATTTGGCTCTTCTTGGGGAGCTTCTTCAGCTGCTCCCACCTCTTGTCCAGGGCGTTTCCTTTGCTCCTCTGCTCTGTCTGGTACTTCTCGGATGCTGCACTCAGGTACCAGTGTGCAGCTTTGCCTTCTGCTCTAGATGCACAAGCAGCTTTTTGAGAAAGGACGCCAGCATCTCATCCAGCTGGTTCTGGACTCTGGTCATCTAGAAGAGGACACCTCCTAATTCCAAGAAGCCCTAACAATCGACAGCCCGATCCCCCATGTTTACCAAAGTCATTAAAAAGGCCTCTGGCAGTGGGAGTCACACCTACCGGGGCTTTCTAATACTATTCCACATGGTGATGATGTTGCAGAGGCTGCAGTTGCACTGACTCATTGTCTGTAGATACTTTCTGAAAGTTGGTGTGTCTCCTCTGAGTGTGACAGCAACATGGTCCTGAGTCCTGCCTGAGTCACAGAGCCATTTGACAAGTCCTGTAGAGATCTGTATGTTAGTCTGTGCCACTGCTCCATTCTTGTTTCTGTTCTTCCAAAGCTGGGCATGATCGCCACCACATTTGCATGATAAGCATCTCATGTCATCCTGCATGGTTTTGTCATTTCCAAAGGACAGGTTTTGAGTGGCAGCTATAATGCCACAGTCTTGGTCTCTAACCTTAGCCGTCTCTACATAGGAGCAGGCCAAGTTGGATTTTGCTTTCTCCTGTGAACATAAAGGACTTACTTTAGTGTTAAGAAAGTCCCCCAAGACAGACAAGGAATTTAAATCACGGTAAGCAAGTATTGGCAACTCTAGACTGGTCAGAGAAATGGACAAGGGAAAAGGCATGGATCCGGGAACCATCAGGGCACCTGGGTAGACTCCCTGGAGCTTGGTTAGAGCATGTTTCTCCAGTGTGGTTTGGCTGGAGGCCACAGGAGGAAGCTCAGGATCCTGACTTAGATCATTAAGCAGTAGCCACCTATTGAAATCTCGTGACCTTGTGACTCCAACAAGGGCCAGTTCTTACTGTACCTATTCCAGGTCTTGCAGAGGCCCAGGAGCTGTGATGTATCCCTTGCCATGACAGGCATTCATCAATTCTGTCAAAATGAGTCATGGCAATCGGTTTTATAGATTATACCAGGACTTACAGAGCTCTCTCTGTCTCTGTTTGAGTCTCTTCTCCACCCCGACTCCCTCTCATCTTGCTTTGCATCTGGGTATACCTTTAGCAGGTATATCCATCTGAGACCCATAGGCTACATGCATCCCAGGAGAGCTATGAATGTGACCCCTCAAAATTATCAATGACAACATCATGTCACAGTATCCAAACACTGTCTCCTTGCTTTAAAAACAAAAGTATTTAATTACTACTCACTGAGCCCCATCCGTACCTATGACCACGCTTTTACTTAAATTTAACACCAAGACTACTTTGAATATGCTAATAAGTGCTGTTTGAGACACAGAATTAGCAACGATCTTTGTCACAGTAAACTATTTGCCAGATAAGCCTGGTGTGGTAGCACACATCCCAAGTACAGGGAATGATGAGGCAGGAGGGTCTGCCCTTCTTATCAAGACTTTGCCAAAAACAAAACAAAACACCTCATATATCTTTTACACTACCAAATTAGTTATCCAAAATAAATGTTGCAAGCAAGTGTATACATTCTCAAAAGAGGAATATCCATACAGCCACAATTAGATTAAATTTTTACTTACAATAGGGCCTATTGAGTTAGAAAGGGTTGTGAGACTATCATAGGAACCTATTGTCTCTTTTGGTTTCCCCTACCCGTTGATTATCGTCACAGATCAGGACATTAGACCCACCCATTCAGTCAGGAAATTGCAACTCAACCCAAGCTGCCAAGGTCAGTAGCCATCAGCTCGGGCTTTTGTTTCTATGTTTGCCTTACTATTCAGGAGGTTTGACACGACCGAGGTCCACCATCACTCTGCTGTCCCAAACCTACAGTGCTTAAATCTTTTCCTTTCCTTGTATTTTGATTACAGTAGTGGAGACACAAAGATTATCTATGTCTTCTGTGGGAAATCCCCTTCTGTGAAGTAGAGAAGACAAGCAAAGCCAGAGAGCTTGTATGCCCAGGCAGGTTGTATATACTAGTTATTTAGTGTATGGTTTAAAATAGTATTTTCTATTTAATAGCAAAACCTGTAGGAGACTGTTAAGTGTGTTTCCCAGTTCTCTAGAGGAACAGAGCTAGTCTATGGGATGTATAAGAACGACTTACAGGCTGTGGTCTGGCCAGCAATGGCTGCTTCCTGATGGAAAGGCCAAGGATCTGGTGATTAGTTGTCCAATCCACAAGGCTGGATGTCTCAGCAGTTTCAATCTGGAGTCCCAGGGAAGTCCCAGAGAGCTGCCGGTCTTCAGTCTTTGTTAGAAATTCTGAAGAAGTGGGTTCTGTGTCTGGGTGGGTGCAGAAGCCTAGATATCACATTCAATGCACTCAGTCTTTGCAAATGCCAGAAGAGGACCTTGAATCCCAGGAGCTGCAGTTACAAAAGGTTGTGAGTTTGGGGAATCAAACCTGTGTCCTCTGGAAGAGCACCAAGTGCTCTCAACCACTGAGCCATCTCTCCAGCCCCCTGACAGCCTCTGTTAAAACATTATACATCTCCTTGTTATCTATTCTACTTTACTTTCTGTAGCACTGAGCATGCTATGTATATTCATTTCCTCATTTGTTTGTTGTTGCCATGACTATGTCACTGCTACCTGCAGTTGTAAACTAACGAGTGCAAGGATTTAATACTTTTAACTGACGTTTCTCTACTTTTTGGTAGCTCTTAACAATGTGTAACTGCTTAATTTCCATATAGTAAGATGAATTTTAAAATCCAGACTCTATTGCATTAGTCACACCTAGTCACAACTGGAGCTGAGTAGCAGCTTGTAGCTTGTGGTTTGTGGCTTGTGGGCAGGACACACACAGAACAATTTCATCATCTCCATAAAGTCTACGAAATGTAATGGATCCAGGGCAGTAGCTGCTACACAGTGGGATTGAGAAAACATCTGTAGAAGGATGTTTCCCATTGACTCTAATCACAAGTAGCAGTGGCACCAAGAGACACACTCCATTGTGAAAAAGCAACCCTATTTCCCTTGGTAATTTGCATCAATCAATCACCTCTCCTAACTCTGTTTTTCCTTTCTGAGACTGTTGGCTTAAAGCAGTGGTTCTAAACCTGTGGGTCATGATGGGGGACACATTTAAGATATCCTGCATATCAGATATTTACATTATGATTCATAACTAGCAAAATTAGTTATGAAACAGCAATGAAATAATTTTATAGTTGGAGATGGTCACAACATGAGGGATGGTATTAAAGGGTCTCATCATTAGCAAGGTTGAAAACTCACTGGCTTAAGGGCATCAGAAGCCCCAAGTGGCTAGAGAGATGTCTGAGCTTCCAGTTCAATAGAATGTTTGTTGAAACATTTAATATTCCCAAAGATGTCATTTTAATAGGTCCTAAGATGTTTAGAGGATTCAAATTCATAAACAATATGTATTTATCAGGCCTTACTATAGGATTACAATATTTATAGTTTTATCTTCATATGTATTTTAATTGAGCATGCCAAAAAATAGTTTTTTTTTTTTTTTTTTAAAATATTTATTTATTTATTATATATGAATACACTGTTGCTGTCTTCAGACACACCAGAAGAGGGCATCAGATCTCATTACAGATGTTTGTGAGCCACCATGTGGTTGCTGGGATTTGAACTCAGGACCTCTGGAAGTGCAGTCAGTGCTCTTAAGGACTGAGCCATCTCTCCAGCCCCAAAAAATAGTTTTAGCACATAATAAAAATGAATTGTAAAAGGTAACCAAAGTGGACACAGTTTGCTTAAAAAAATCTTCTGGGCACAAAAAATATGGAAACAACAAAAATATTGAAGACAATTATCATAGACCCATGACACAATTACATGAAATTAAGTGTACCCAGTTGAGAAAAAATTAAAAGACAGAAAGTTTATTTCTTTAGGATGAGAGGAATGATTAGTAACACAAAGGGTTAAAAGGTGACATTTGCCATATAGACTTATGGTGGTTCTATCTCTTCTCTGTCCATCCGTCTGTCTGTCTGTCTGTCCCTTTCTCTCTAAATGGTTGAGTGGGGAGTGATTTGTTCTTTAAAAAAAAAGAATATTATTTATTTATTTAATTATTTATTTATTTATTGTCCCAGACTGTTTTCTAACAAGTAACTTGAGCATCACGATTTGTACCAAGTCAGGTCTGGCCACCCTTCCCCAATGAGCCTATTAAAAGAACCAAATAAAAACAGAAAGAAAAAAAGATGTATTTAATGTGCTCACATTCCGAAGGGAGGACAGAAATTCAGAAAATGTCTCCAGTCCACCTTTAGGGTCCTGAAATAAATCAAAGTTTAAATAGAAGGACATGCACATCTCAACAGTCCTCCTCGGGGTGTGGGCACACTCACCATTATGTGAGTTTTCCCTTCCCCCTATAAGGTGATTTAATATGTTAGGACTGTTTGAAATCCCTTTCAGGGAGACAAGTTACTCTTCTGGCTGGTGCGCCTTCTGTCTCCCACCATGAGATTCCTAAGGAAATCCCATTCTTAGGTTCCGTTATTTCAACAGTCTGAGAGTCAGGTTGAGAGACACAAATATCACAAATATCGTTATATCTGCCAGACCCGAGTTACATGGGAGGATCAGACTTTATGAGGATGGTCCGGACTCAATGGTTCCATACAGATACTCGGTTTCCATTCAGAGATTCATCCAGTGAAACCGGATCTGTCTCAGATTCCCATGTTGTGGTACCATAATTATCCATGTTTAAAACAAACAAACAAAAAAACCACAACTCTCTTCTTAGGATAAGAGAATTTTTGATATTTTCTTCTGGAGTCATTTAAGTGACCATGGCTCAGATACACAGATCTTGATTAACCCAAATTCCACATTCAAACATGGAAGCAGTTTCATTAGATTTTTATAGTTTTACAGAACAAGGTAAATTATAAATCAAGACAAGGTTAAAATACATTGGTGGGTATATCAGAGAAGTACAGCAAGATGGCGAAGCTTTTCTATAGGTCTATAGGCCTAGGATTCAAAAGGTTCGTTCCAACACAGAGGTGGCAAGGAATGGTTGTCAGGGTCAGGGCAGTGCTAGAACCAGCCCAAAATAAGGTTAATTTCTGGACCTGCAGCATTCCAGTCTCTTCAGAGTACTACGGTTCTAATCAGCGGATCAGTCTCTGCAGCCACAATTTCTTTCCAGGAGTTCTCGCCCACAGTCCTCATAAAAGAAGGCTCCAGAAACAATCATGACCGCTTAGTATTTTCCCTCAGGTGCCCCCGTCAATCTTGACAGCAAGTCCCTCTTTAATTTGCACTATCGCTTGACTCAAATAAAATGATCTTGCTTACTTTGCACACCCGTGGGATTGCTTACTTTCAATTCATCGGAGAAGAGGTGAAGAAACGTGGAAACACCTAGCTCAGACCTTGATCAGGAGTAACTGTATAAAAAAAAGACAAGCTCTGCAGACTCGCCCCGTCCCTCAGGGAAGGGCAGGACAGGAGGTTCTGTCAGTTCTCTATTGCTCCGATCGGTTCAGTTGTTCATCTTGTTCACTTTCTCCGATCTGCATCTGTATGGAACCTCGATCTCGACTCCATCCAAAGAGGAAACAGCAGGATCAAGCCACCCAAAGATCCCGGAACAGAATTATTGGCTTCCGTTTCCTGCCGGAATCCAAAAGGAGAGGAACAGTGCAGGCGGAAAACATCTTGGGGGACATTTTTGACGGACGAACTAGTTCTGTTGTGCTCGTCTTTGAGTTTGTGTTTCCGGTTGTGCTCTTGCTTGAGTTTGTTTTTACACGATGCTCCACAGAATTCCGGCATTTATACGCCCTCCCCCTTTCTCGGGCCTCCCTTTGTCCTATGGAAACCGGGACGTCTTGGTGGCTGTGCTGCCCGCGGCCCAGTCCGGAGTTGTCAGGTAAGGCAATTGAGAGTTGCTGGCCCCGCCGGTCTTCCAGGACTCCCTTTCCTTCTCCTTGACATGCAGCGGTATTTTTTCCGGCCGCCTGGGATTGGTACTGTAATCGTAGGCTCTTAGAAGAGGTTGTTTTACGTATGGGCAAAAAGAAATCGTAGAAAGACAAGGCAGCTTGTCGGATGACATGAGTGTGGCAAACAGCTATAATAGCCTGTCGTGTCTCTTGTCCTGTGGTCTTTCTGCTGCATGCCCACCCCTCATCTTGCTTGGTGTTACTGCTCTTTGTACAGACTCCAAAAGAGAGATCGTTTCTTTCATTTTCTATGCTTCCCAAGAATTTTGGATAGCCTCGTTAATGTGTCCCTCCTTTATTCCTTACTGCATTATTTAAAGTGCGTGTATATCAGTTACTGTTGTTGAGCTCCGAATAAAACAGTCCTGCCATTCTGGACAGTAGTATATTTCCATCGAGGAGGTAATTCAAGTATAGTAAAGATAGCATAGGTAAGCAGAGGGTTCATCCTCTCAACAGATAACTATGGGAGAGCAAATAGAGACATCCCGAAGTTGTAAGAGGCTCATGGTATTCTTTCTGGGCACTCCTGTTCTCAACACCTACTACAGTGCTGAAGCAAGGTAGCAGTGGAGATGGAAAGGATCACCTACGTGAAGGAGTGTGCACAAAATAGAGTAAATAGGATGTGACATAGGATAAAGCAATAGAGTGGTCAAAGGAGCAACTGTTTCTGCTGATTGCCCTAAAGAATTGACAGGAGAAAGATGTTTGAGAAAGATTCTAAAATATCTCAGCATCTTTAAAATGCAAAATGAACTATTATTGTAGGAGCCTACACTGTGAAGGGTGAAAAATGTGAAGTAATTCTCTAAGGGAAGCCATGTGGCGGTTTTGGTTTGATGTTGGGGATTCGGAATCAGGAGTTCTTGCTTGCTAGACAAATGATCAGCTACTCACATGAGCTTAGGAGAAGCTCATGAGATATTCTCAAAGAAAAGAAGCTCAGATGAGTGTTTAGGAAAATCGTTTTATTATTTTATGTTAGGGAGCATGCATGGTTTTCCTGTTACACGAGTTATTTTTTTTGTAGTGTCGCAGCACTCTTGAAAGGAAACGTTGTGGTAGAGGCGATATGTGTGACTTGTTCTTCTGGTTTTCATGTGTCAAGGTGCCTTCAACATTAACTTTCAGAAATAAAATAGTAGTAACTGTTAGAGGATTTTTCCTAATTTGAATTGTCCATATTGCTATTATGAGAGTTCTGTGTATTGATCACGGTACTTCCTTTGTAACTTATTTTTCACTCTGATTCTCAAGTGACTAATGACGTATCCTTGGGCATTTTCATAAGCAAATTATATAGTTTTAGAGTTGGGGAATTTTTTTTTTTGCATTAAAGTATTCCAAGCCTGGGGCTACCATTTGCTAATTTTGATAATTTTATACATATTAATAATAACTTATTATTACTATATTATAATAAATTATTTTGCTATAATCATATTATGATTATATTATAAAATATAATAATTATATTAATAATAAATTAATTCAGAAGGCAAACGGCAGCTGAACTACCTTGTGTTTTAGTTTAAGTGCAAATTCCCAAGCGCCATTCCAAATGTGAAAACTGGGGATCTCATTAATCTACTTACTGTATACCGTAGCAGCTCAGAAGTCCTAAATCCTTGGGAGCAGCAGCTTCCTTTTTTGTAAAATGAGAATGTATTTTGTAAGATTGTAAGGATTTTATAAGATTGTAACATAGCTACTCAAAAGAAGTCTTGTAACTAGTGATGCCAGCATCAGCATCACTTGGGAACTTGTTTATAATGTGAAATTTTTAGTTCCTCCTTGAAAGTACTAAGTCAGAATTATGTGGTGGGACCAAAGAATCTACATTTTAGCAAGTAGGATAGATAATTTCTGCGTGTTTTTAAGACTGAGAAACAGCATCCTAGCCATTAGCATCCTAAAGGTAGAAACTGCTGGACCCTACTATGACTGCTCAACATATCACATGATAAACCAACTGAGCCATGAAACAGGGTGATGGAAGCAACTATAGTTGAAAATCCAGGTAATGAAGAAGATGAAGTGTAAAAGTATTTTTTATTCACTGATGCAATGGTCATCTGACTTACTGTCTCCATCTGCTAACCTAAGCCTAGTCCTGGAAGCTTCTAGCTTCCGTACAATCTTATCTAGGCCTAGAATGTTTTCATTCTCTGAGACTTACTGCTGAATAAGCTCACCCTTTCTTGTTCTTTCTGAGCTCTGGCTAGCTGATTCAGCTCAGCTCTTCTGGCACAAACTCATCTCCAAGCTCACTGATTCAATCTGGCTTCTCTCTTGGTCTCTGACTAAAATGCGCTGCTTGGCCTTAGACTAACTCTAGCAATCTTTTCTGATCTTCTGGCTCTTTCTCATTCTCTGGTTCATTCTGTCTCCCCTGTGTCTATGCTGTTCCCTCTTCTTGTTTCCTCTTCAGCTTGTCTCTCTATAACTCCTGGTAAAACCGCCTCCTCTCTCTCCCACTCTGCACTGCTCTCTTAAGTAGCTTCTCTTTCCTCTCTCTTCTCATGAGAGTTGGACATATCATTTTCAAACATGGCTGCTTCCTTCTACAGACTAACTTTACCTTCATTGTTTAAGATTAAAGGTAAGTGGTAAGGGCGTGTCTGTTTCCAGCCAGAGGGATTAAAGATGTGTGCTAAGGGCTGAGCCACACCACAACTAGAAACTTTTTTTTTCATTAAATAACACAGTTTCTGAGTTCACAATGTGATCAAATATCCTGCAACAATGGAGGAGTCTGGTTCAAAGTTTATTTTGCCAAAAAACTGCTTTAGGTATGGTTTATATCAGAGATGGTGGAAGTCTGGAATAGATATCATAAAAACTGACAGTGAGATTCTGTGAAGGACCTTTGGGGGATGTAGCTCAGTGGTAAAGCACTTGACCGTCATGCATGAGTTCTTATCTCAGTCCCTGGTAGTGGGAGCAATGCAAGGTGTTGATTTTAGCTGTCTTGGTGTCTCTTAGCAAAAGCGGTTGCTAAGTGCCTGTTACACGATTACAGACAAGTGGGCAGTTCTTAAGGCCAGATTTGTGACCAGATGTTGCACCTGCTCCTTATCCTGTTCACACAGTCAAGGGTCGGGAGATGCTTTTCAGCTGTGCAACCTCAGGACAGAGATCACCGTTTACTCAGGCTGCTTTGTCACTGCTTGTGCATCAATCCTGACGTGCAATACGATAAGCAAACTAGAGAGAGAGATTGTTCTTAAACCATTTCATGGAAGAAAACCTATTTCAGCTGATTGTTCTGGAAGACACTTGTCTAATGAGGCTAAATAGAGAATCAGACTTGAATTTGCTTTCAGTGTTCTGCCTTACCATAGACTTTGTATTTACTAATGTATTGTCAGTGCCTCATATAGTGCCCAGCACAGAGTAGAAAAATGTCCACACCATGTTTATACATATTCTTTAACTTTAAAAGTGCAATGTGGCCGGGCGGTGGTGGTGCACGCCTTTAATCCCAGCACTTGGGAGGCAGAGGCAGGTGGATTTCTGAGTTCGAGAGTTCGAGGCTAGCCTGGTCTATAGAGTGGGTTCCAGGACAGCCAGGACTACACAGAGAAACCCTGTCTCGAAAAACCAAAAAAAAAAAAAGTGCAATGTGTATTCCTTGTCTGAGAATTTCACAGACGTATAGAATGTATTTCTATCCTATCTGCTGAGCGCCTACCACGCCAGCACATGCATGAGTTCTGAAAGTTCAACAGCAAATACCAAGCAAAGACACTTATCTCCTAAAAAGTAGGTGTTCTGATTATTTAAAAGTAGGATAGATGTATGGAACTCTGAGTTTCATACGTAGCACCCACAAAATAAAGAAGGAAATCTTTTGCGTAGATACAACAGTTTGTGTTCTTTTTATAAGCATGTCCAAGAGAGCAGAATGACAACTCAAAATTCTCTTCTCTGCCTGCTTTGTTTAGCTTATTGTTAAGGACAGTTCTCAGAGGCTGTGGATTTGGACTAGACACCTGCACCAGGCCCAAGAGAGACCAAAGGCGCACTTTGTTTGTTGGCTAACTCATAGCACCAAGCTCTGGTTGGTTCAGGAGAACTGTAGTCCCTTAAATAAGTAGCTGTAGTCACCTGGTGACTGGCTAAGCAGTAGACAATTAATTTATTTTTCTCTGGCACACTTCCATTTTTCTGTAAATGGTGTCTTATCACCTTGCTGGTTAAAGTTCTCCACCTGCTCTGGTTCTGGGGCCTGCCCAGTTTCTACATTGGTTTAGTTTGGCTCTGCTGCTCAAGCTACACTACATTTAATTGGTCTAAGGAACTTTCACTACAAATAGTAGTTGACTAAATGTCATGATGTCAGTAAGAAGTTTTATAATACCTAAACATTTTTGTAAGTCATTTTTTCATGAATAGAAATGCGATTATTTTCACATTGCTTCGTTATGACATCTTGAAGAGGCATTCATTACGTTAAGAAGAACTTGGCAGTCAGTCTGATATAAATTGGAGAATAGCAAACTGTCATTTATTAACCGTGTTATTTAATGCTTCCCAATCTTCTATATCATGGCACATATAGAAAAATGGTGTTTGTCCTGACCCCAGGACGAGTGGAGGGAGTCAGCCAGCTTGAGGAGTGCCAGCAGTTCTAGGCCTCACTTGGCCACCCCAAGGGCTAGGTGATAGGATCTCAGCTGTACATGCTTATGGCATGCCAGTGTGGCTCAGGCCTTAAGGAACTGTGAGCTAGGTGACCCCATGTAGTGGTCTGAGTGACAATGTCCCCTGTAGGCTCAGATGTTTGAATACTTAGTCCCCAGTTGGTGGTACTGTTTAGCTAATTTTAAGACCTATGGCCTTGCTGGAGGAAGTATGTTACTGGGGACAGCTTTGAGGTTTCAGAACTCACACCTAGTCCCAGGTTGCTCTACACTTCCTGCTTGCAGCCTAGATGTAACCTCTAAGCTGTTCCTGCCTCTGTGACTGGTATTTGCTGCCATGTGTCCCACTGTGACAGACTCTTATCTATCCCTTAAGAACCTTAAGCCTAGTAACCCTTCCTTCTGTAACAAAAGTCGTTTTATCACAGTAGGAGAAAAGCAACTAATACCTGTGGTCCCCAGTTGGTGGTGACATTTAGTCAGGTTCAGGTAGTGCAGCCTTGCTGGAGCAAGTGCATCATTAGAGGTAAGCCCTCACCTCCTCCCAGTTTACTCTCCATGTCATTGGGAATGTGGGGTTCGTCCTGCCTGCTTGCTGCCGTGCGTCCCTGTCACGTTGGACCTAATCTCTGTGGAATCATAAGGCAAAAGTAAAGTTGCTTTTGGCCACAGAAATATATCTAATTTAGAAGTTGGTACCAAAGGAGGGTTCTTGCTGGGAAGAACCTAACCATGTGTTTTTAAAGAATGGAAGACTTTGGAAGTTTAGACTAGAAAACAGAGGTTAACTGCTGCAAGGCAAGTTTAAAGCGTCATTCTGGTTGGAGCCTGGAAGACAGTAATGCTGAATGCAATGTGGACTGTATAGGCCTAGCCCCAGAGCTCAGAGGAGGATGATATCGGCAGCAGGGCCAGAGGTCGTTCCTGTGGTGTTTTGGCAAAGACTCTGGCTACCTTCTGCCCTTGTTCTAAGAACTTACGTGAAGCTAAATTTTAAGTAATGGATTGATTTCTTTGGTGGAGGAAATTTCAAGACTGTATAATCTTGAGTCTATGATATGGTTATTATTGATAACGCACATGCCAGCCCACAGTGTAAAAGAATAACTTGAACAAAAATAGGAAATGTACAGTTTGCCTCAAGGGCCCTAGGAAGCTTCAGGATACAACAAAGGCACAGACTCTGCTGTTCTGGAGATCCCCGCCCAACACTGGGAAGGGTGTCTAAGGATATGTGCCCTAAGCTAGCTAAGCTCTCAACTTGGAAAAGAGCCTAAAGAGTTTTCTCTGCCTTCAAAGCCACAACAGAAGCTGTTACTAATACAGTTCAGGTAGGCTAGGTAGGGTCTGTCCCAAGCTGGTGACTGAGTTTGACATTGTTGTCTACTTGGAGCCTCTGTAGCCAGGCATCCTGGGTAGGGCAGTCCCTGCACCAAGGCCCCAAGAAGCCGTTATGTGATGCTATGAGAGTGATGCCTGAGTTGTGTTGGAAACCCCAAGGTTTGGGAAGTGCCAAACCTGAGAGCTAGCTGCTAAAGAAAGCTGTAAACAGTGGAGCCAGCAAGGGAGTGGAAGGGAGAAGCTGTCTACGTGTCTGGGTATCAGACATGGAGCTACAGGATGTGCTGTCTGCCCTGCTGGATTCCAGTCTCGCTTCGATCCACTGTGTCTCCACTATGGCCCACTCCTCCCTTTTGGAATAGGAATATGTCACTATATGTAGGAAGGATGTCATTTGCTTTCTCTCTTTAACCTTTCATTGATTCTTTGTCAGTTTCACATTATGCACCGTGGACCCACTCATCTCCACGGCCCTTCCTACCCAACCTCCACCACTAAAAACACACAAACGGACTGCAAACACAGAAACAAACAACCAAAGCATAGGAAAGATTTCACTGTGGACACTGCAGTGTGTCACAGCGTGGCCCACAGTCTATCCTTGTGTCCACATATCTTCAGTCATTGTCTGGTTCAAGATCTCTGGCTTCTGTGACACCATCAATTTTGGATCATTGTGGGAACTCAGAGTTATCCTGTTGTTGCCCTGTGTGGGCAATGTGTCCTGCTTTGAAACAGCAGGACCGGCCCTTTCACATGCCCCAACCATTTGCATATACAGATTCTGATGTAGGCCAGTTCAGAGCCCTGGATATGGGCCTGGGTGGTAGCCAAGTTGGTCAACCACCAGCTCTCCCTTATTTGTACACCAGGCCGAGCTTTCCAGCACTGTTGTAGGGAGTCCATCCGATGCCGCCATCAGCAGGAGGCAGGGTCTCCTGCTCTCATGCTCTTGGGACCAGCTCATCTGCATCTGTGCCTCCAGAGCCAGCTCCACTGTGCTGCCCAGTCAAGGTTCTGGGCCCACACTCCCAAGTGTCCCACCCTCTGACGGGCTGGGACAGCTCTCCCCCTCACACACACAGGGCTGGCTCACTGCCATGCCATCAGAGCCAGTTCCAGTGTGCTGCCCAGATGAAGTGCAGGGCCGCTCTCCTGAGTGCTACAGCCAGTGAGAGGGCAGGGCTAGCTCTCGCCCTCACACCTGACTCTGTGGTCAGCTCTCCCAGCTACTGCAGGTGCCACAGGGAAGGGCTACACACACACAGCCCACACCCACACCACCTCATGCCAGACGAGCAGCAGGACCAGCTCTCCAGCACCCTTGCTCTTGAGCCTGCCTGGCTCACCTGCACCTCCCCGCCGCCATGAGAGCCAGCTCTTCCATGCTGCCGTGCAGGGCAGTGGACAGAGTCAGCTCACCAGCTCTCATGCCCTCCTGACTGTCTCAGGTGGTGAGCGGTGAGGAGGCATCACCCCCGCACCAACGCCATGTCATGCAGACAAGTGGTGGAGCCAGCTCCTCCATGTTCTCTACCTCGGTGCTGGCTTACCCACTCTCCCTGGGCCAGGGCTAGCCCTGTTGTGCTGCTCAGGCAAGGCGCAGAGCCTGCTTCCCTGAGCAGTGCAACCAGCAAGAGCCAGAACCAGCTTACTCCCTGTCATGACCCTGGGGTCAGCTCTCCCAACTGCCTCAGGTGACCACGGACAAGGGGGCAAAGGGTATCCCCCGGGCCACCTCATGGAACATGAGTGGCTGGGCCAGCTCTCCCTTGCTCTGTCCTTGGGGCTGGCTTACCTGCTCCCTTCAACCAGGGCCAGCACTATTTGTGCTGCCCAGGCACAGTGCAGTGCCCGCTCTCCTGAGTGCTGCAGGTGACAAGGGACAGGGCTAGCCTTCCTGATGTCATAACCCTGTGGGAAGCTTTCCTGACTGCTAGGGGACAGGAGGCACATCACCTCTGTATCTGTGCCACCCCATGACAGATGAGTAGAAGGGTCAGCTCTCCACATTCACACCCTTGGGCCTGCCTACCCACACCCCGATAACAGGAACCGCTCCATTGTACTGCTCAGGTGAGGTACAGAGCCTGTTCTTCCAAGTGCTCTCACCTGTGAGAGATTGGGGCCAGCTCTCTAGAGCACAGAATCTGGTGAGGAGCAGGGCCAGTTCTGCACAGCTCCTGGACAGCCACATGGTCCTGGCTGTCCCGACCAGGGAGTCCCCACGTTCTCTATGGTAACATGAGCCATGGACATGGACGCCTACCCCTGCCACTGCATAGACACGGACTCAGACGTGGCTCTTAGTGGCAGATTGGGCTGGAATCTCACCATGGCCCCAGGTGGTGGGGCTGGCCACTCAGAACTCCTCCCACCCTCAGTCTCCAGTCCCATCTCTCTTCAGAGTGCTCTCTTCTCCGATTCTCTTTCTCTCCCATCTGTCCACCACATGCTCACACTTTGTGGTGACTCTCACTGCAGGCTGGTCACATGGCTGGTAGGTCCTTGGGCGACATCCTTCATCTGTGCTGTGTGGGGTGGTGGCAAGGTATCTATGGCCTGCCTGTGCCATGGGCTGGAGGGCAGGTCTGTGGGTGGCATGGCAGTCCACAGGTTTCTGTCTTACTCCTGCCTGGATTGTATTGGATTAGATATGATTTGATTGCATTGAATTTTTATGAATCCTAGGCATAAGAGAACTTTGATCACCAAAGATTCTCAAAGAGACTCAGTCTTCACCAAAGATTCTCAAAGAGACTGGACTTTTAAACAGTGTAGAAACCAGGAAAGACTAAAGGAACTTTAAAAACTGGACTAAATATCTTTTTTGCATTATGAAATGGCCATGAGCCTGTAGGGGCCAGGGAGTGGGATCTAGTGGTTTAGAAGGAGAATCTCCCTCTGAGGCCCAAATATTTGAAGGCAGTTGGCTGCAGTGTTTGGGGAGCAGTATGTCACTGGGGCGGGATTTGAGAGAGAAAAGGCCTGTGCCACCTCAGTTTGTTGTCTCTGCCTTGTCTTGCATTTGAGGATGCTATCACTCAGCCTCTGCACCTGCTGGCATGCCTGCCTCTTTTTGAGACACTGCTTTGTCTGATGGCTGTTTTCCCTCAGGAATCATAAGTCCAAATCACTTCCTTCTTCCATGAATTGCTTTTAGTCATGGTATTTTATCTTAGCCCCAGGAAAGTCACTGCACCCGAATGGTTACGCCTGTGGATTTCAGTTTCCTTCTCCGTAAGAGGAGGATAATGCTGACCTTTGGTGTTGATGTGGGTGTGACAAATTGTACACAAATCTTGTCCAGGCGAGGTTCAGAGTATGTGCTAACACAGGATGACTGGCTTCCATTGTGGTTGCTAATAACAGTGGGAAGCAGACGGGAATGGAGAGGAACTTACATGAAGTTGTTTTAAGTGTAGAAGCAGGTTTTTCTGTTACTACTTTATTATCTTTGAATTATATTTTTCTTCTCTTCCTTAATATGTCATTTCAGGACAGAAAATAATATCCAAAGACATTTTTGCACTAGCAGATCGATCTGTAGCAAGAAAGATGACCAGTCTGTTCCAGCCAATGAAATTTCCCAGAAGGCCGCAGAGAGCCAAGGCAGGGGGAAGGAGACTTTGAAGAAAGACCTGCTGGACATCATTAAGGACATGAAAGTGGAACTGAACACAGTGAATGTAAAAACAACAAAGCCGCGTGGCAGAAAACTTCGTGCAAGTCTGGAGACTACTGTCGACAGGCTTCAGAAAGCTCCAGAAGGTCCTCCAAAGAAGAGGTAAATTGAATTCCAATTTGAATGTTCTTTGAGACTAATCTATGGTGTTCCAATAAGCCTTTCTTATAGTAAACAGTCTATGAAATTATAGTGCTTAAGAGACACTGAGAAAATGAAGCAGCAGAAGTGGAGGGTCTCTAAAGTCACTTTAAGTATGTGTATATGTGTGTGCATACATATTGTATTTATATATTTAAGGGATAGACAGTATTCGTAGTCAAGCATGGTGGCATAGTCTTCTAATCTTAGCACTTGGGAATCTGAAACAGAGTATTGTGAATTTGAGGCCAGTCTGGGTTACATAGGAGATCTTATCTCAGAAAAACAATAACAAAACAATCAAAAATACACACACATATATAAGTACCTACCATGGACTACATTTTGGCACACATATTTGTAATCCCAAACTCAGGTTGAACTCTGCAGACTGCAGCATTATGAATGCCAGGCTGGCTTGGCCTACATAGGGAACTGTCTCAGAAACAGCAACAGGTGAGAGAGAGGCTTTAAAAACTTTGGATGTGTTTGACTTGTTATTGTAAATGTGCAGTTGAAATCATTTAAATGACTGAAATGAGAGAAACCGTTTGAAAGGTTCAGTAAGGTCATTTTAGTGTGATCTTCTTATTTAGTCTTTGAGAATTTTATATGTGCGTACAATGTATTTGTCTCCCAGTCCTCTCTGTAGCTCCTCCTACATCCATCTGTGTCTCCCCACCCCTCCTAAACTCATTCCCTATTTTATAGTAACCCACGGAGCCCAGTTTATACAGCCCGTATACTCTGGGATGTGAGGCACTCCACCTGAGCATGGACACTCTTAAGGCAAGTGACTGTCCCTCCAGCAGCCAGCAGCTGTCAGTAGCTTCTCACAGAGGCTTTGAGCCCTCTGTGCTAGGATGCTGGCTACCTTGATTGTGTGCAGGTGCAGATGCGTCTTTAACATCTGGAAACCTTCTGAAGCCTCCAAGAGGAGGCTGAGGGCAAGACTGGAGAATGGGGTGCACTTGTTCTGAGTCTGAAGAAAAGCTTCTTGTAATATTTACCCCCTGGCACTTGACTTTTTATTTTGAGAGTATCTGACTCTTTCATAGTTAACCATGTATTCACTTTTTAGCCCAGACACAGCAAGCACTGTCTCAGCTTCTGAGTAATCTCCACTGAGATACAGGCCTGCACCTTGACCACCTCTTTCCTCCCTCCTCTCTCCCATCTCTCTCTTATAATCCAGCGTCTGCACACTTGAGTTAGTTGTAGTATTTGCCTCAAGATGCACTGTAACATGACCGAATTCCCCTCCCTCCCTCCCTCCCTCCCTCCTTCCCTCCCTCCCTCCCTCCCTCCCTGTATATCCAGAGCTCACCAATATGGCTACAATGGCTGCATTACAGATTACCCTAAAACACACTCTCATAAAATAACTGTTTTCATACTCAGAGTATGGGCCAGCAGAGACCACTTTCAGCGGCATGATGTCTGAGGCCACGGAAGTCTCTGAGGCTCACTCGCTGCCCTCAGACTCACTCAGAGGTTGACATTGGCTCTCAGCTCAGACCTTAGCTGGTGCTAGAAGCAGAAATATCTACATGAGCTAGGTTACATGTTAGGTACATGTTAGGTTGCTCTGACATGTCTACAGACTGGAGGCTGGGGTCCAGGGACAGGTGTCTCAAAAGAATGCAAGCAGAGAGAAGATGGGTTTTTGTTTGTTTGTTTGTTTGTTTTTTTTAATGACCTAGCATAGGAGTTAGGTTGACTGGTGCCATCAGTTCACATTGATATATATGTGTTTGCTTTCTTTTTAAAATCACAGAAACTGCTTTTAATAAAAAGAAAAGGACCTTTCCGTGAGGGTCTCCAACTCATCTCTAACGCTCTCAGCAGATGCTTTCCCAGTACTAAGTGAGCGTGCTCTGCCACACCCAGGGTTTTCGTGTGTTCTGGGGATGGAACTTAGGTTCTCAGAGGTGTGGCAAGGGCTTACTTCACTGACTGAAGCATCTCCATAGCTCTCAGTTCTTTGTCCTGAGACAGGCTCTCCCTGTGTGGCCTGGGCCAGCCCTGAACTTATGGTCCTCTTGCCTTAGCTTCTAAGTACAGAAATTATAGTGTGAAACACCGTGCCTGGCTGCCCTGGGTATGTATCAGCAGTTATGTATGAACTTAGAGTTTACTGTTTCACAGTTTCTGTATTACCAGTGTCTAAAGCATGATGTTTTTATATATGAAATGTGTATAATGGATACATGTAATCCTAGCAGTTCTGTGGCTGAGGTACGAGATTGTAAGTTACAGGCCAGCCTCCTGAGACCCTGTTCAAAACAAACAAACAACAAAACTACCAAGAAAACAGTGTTGACTATTTGAAACCTCTTGCTTTTGTCGGAAACTGAATGATTTTTGAATGGGTTTTGTCCCCACGTTGGTTCTCTTTCCACTGCACTAGTGATGTGCTAACCAATTCTGCTTTTCCTTCATTTTGTTTTCTTTTTTAGAAATGAGTTCCTGAGTCCTGAGTTGGTGGCAGCGGCAGCGGCCGTTGCAGATTCTCTACCTTTCGACAAGCAGACAACCAAGTCCGAGCTGCTCAAGCAGCTGCAGCAACACGAGGAGGAGTTGAGGGCTCAGAAGGAGGGAGAGAAGCGCAGGGTTAGGTCAGTGGGTCAGAAGTGCTGCAGTGTTGCTTGGGGTGGGTTCCACTTAATGGTACACATTCGTTCTACTTATAAAACTCCCTCATGGGCCAACAAGATGGCACAGAAGGAAAAGGTGCTTACTGCCAAGGCTGATGACCGTATACCTCCAAGCCCTGAGGACTGAAGGAGAGAGCTCACTCCACGAGCTGTCTGCTGACCTCCACATACATGCGGGGTCATGCTGGTGCCCACACACATGCGCACCCCACATAACAATGAAATCTAACACATGTACCCATGACGGCAAGTACTTTTAAGTGCTCCGCCATCTATGCAGCTCCCGTTGAGTGAAGTGAATGCCTTAGCTCTTCTTTTAAGAAATTACAGAGATTTTTTACCCCTGAGAGAGAAATGACAAAATCAGTACTGTTATTTAAAAAGAAAATTAAAACAAGTAATTGAGTAGGATGGTTTCTCTGAGAAAATTAGTTTTCCTCAATTAGCTGGGTTTGCTCACAGTGTGATGTCTCCTTTTTTCTTAGGTTTGAGCCCAGCATTTCATCATAGTCTTTTCCTTTAAGAAACTCTTTTCGATGTTTGTGTCTAAGTGTATGTATCTGCACCGTGTGTGTGCAGGAACCTGCAGTCAGAAGAGGGTGGTGTTGGGCTGGAGAGATGGCTCAGTGGTTAAGAGCACTGACTGCACTTCCAGAGGTCCTGAGTTCAAATCCCAGCAACCACATGGTGGCTCACAACCATCTGTAATGAGATCTGATACCCTCTTCTGGTGTGTCTGAAGACAGCTACAATGTATTCATATATAATAAATAGATAAATCTTTAAAAAAAAAAAAGAAGAAGAGGGTGATGTACCCTCTGGAACTAGCGTTGTAGGAGGTTTGAGCTGCCATGTAGGTGCTGGGAACCGAAGAACCCAGGTCTCCTTTGAAAGCGGCAAGTATTCCTAACTGCTGAGCCATTTCTCTAGTCTCCTGTATGTGACCTTTTATCGCTTTGTTAATTTCTGCCATTTCCCTGCTTGCTGCCTCGAGGTCATGGAGAGTGGCAGTGCTTCTCTCCAGAGGATGGTCTGCACCTCCTCTTCACAGGGAGCACAGAGAGCATCAAAGAGTAGACTCAGACCTAGACTGTCACCTGGCTCATTCTATATGACAGCAAATAGAGCTCACTTTCAATTTTAATGTAACCAGCAATGTAGGTTGTAGGTACAAGTATTCTTGTTTGTATTTTCCTGCCAGTTTCTGTGGATATTAATAATTTTTATAACTGACATTTTTATTTTTCAAATAAAGATTTAAGAGTATATTTAAAAAATTGAAGAGATACATCTTAACGCCTGTGTCATGTGAGTGTAAGCATTGACTTCACTTACTCATAGACCTTTATGCCCTCATCGGAGCGTAAAGGGGAAGTAGGGATTACATGCATGTCTCCTGTTAGGAAAGAGCTGCGGCTCTGGGGCAGCCGACGTTCCTCATCTCCCAACCTTGTTCTTTCAGCTTCACTCACATAATATCAAATATGAAAATTGTCAAATCTGATTCGCTGAGACTGAAAACACTACCAAAGCACCAGATTCAGTTTGACGAAGGAATGGACAGTTCTCTTGACTGGGAGAAACCTACCGATTTTAGAATAAGGTACTGAGGCTTTGTAATGTGCTGGGTTTTGTTTATATAGTTTTTTTAAAATTCTAATTGTAATCTTAATTTATTCTGCATATTATTATATAGATTGATGATCACTATGGATACCTAGTTAGGGTTTCTATTGCTGTGATAAAATACCATGACCAAAAGCAACTTGGGGAGGTAAGGATTTATTTCATCTTACAATTCCAGGTTACAGAATAACTAAGAGAAGTCAGGGCAGGAACTCAAAGCAGGAACCTAGAGGCAAAAACTGAAGCAGAGACCATGGAGGAACACTGTTTACTGGCTTGGTCACCCTGTGTTGCTCGGTTTGCTGTTATTTAACTTAGGACCACTTGCCCAGGGGTGGTACAGCCACAGTGAACTGGGCCCTCCCACATCAACTAAGAAAATGTACCAAGCATTGCCCACCAGCCAGTCTGCTTAGGGCATTTTCTCAATCAAGGTTCCTCTTCCAAAATGACTCTAGCTTGGATCGAGTTGACATAAAACTACCCATCACAGGTATCTTCTCTGAAATTCCACCTGAAACTCATCACTTAATAAGTTTTCTTATGTGTATGGATGCATATTAGTACATGTGGGTTCCCTGTGGGTACTACTGCAGGCAGTGATCTGCAAAGGGGTGAAATGAAAACCTGGTGCAGACTAAGCCTGGATCAGACTTCAGGGACTGATGTCAGGTAGTTCACTGTTACATATGGAAAACAGTACAATTTGGGAAAAGGTTTCCAGGCAACAATCAGTCTAATTCCAGGTGTACAATAAAGCTTAGGGTGTGACCACATAGACACTCGGTTACAGAGTACATGTGACCACAAGGGTGGGTTCTGTAGCTACAAGTCCTAGAATCTAATGTGATCTCTGACCGACCGTAGAGGTCAGCAGGCCATAAAGTACATGATTTCGTCTCCTCCACTGAGGAGACATGCCTGTGTGATTAATATTCCTGGGTCTCTTGGCGCTTCTCTGAGTGTAAGGACCTCTGTGTCCACAACAAATGCAGTTTGCAGTGCTGGTGTAAAGGTATGCCCAGGCTGAACTGGAACTTACTGTGCCGTTTCCTGGAAAGGAGTCTCCTGGGTTTAACAGTGCTGCATCTATCAGAACCATGAATCAGACTGAGTTTTGACTCACTTTACCCACACTGAATAATGATCCTTTCACTGAGAATAAGTTGTGCTCTCCGGATTCTGAACAAATGAGGTTTTAAGAAGCATTATCTTTCATTCTGGATGTCTCTAACACGAAACATCTGTGTGCTCTTTGCATGTATAGTTACAGTTCTGGGTGTCTCTAACACAGAACATCTGTGTGCTCTTTGCATGTATAGTTACAGTTCCTTTTCTTCATGCCTTAAGATAAATAATTAGGGAAAAAGTCCAGGCATGGTGACTTGTACCTCTAATTCAACACAGAGGACGCTGAGGCAGGAGGAGCACCATGAATTGCAGGCCACTCTGAATTTTACAGTGAGTTCAAATTCAGCAGAGGCTGTTGTGAGACTGTCCCCAAAATAAGACCAACCCAGTAGTACATACTTGTAACCCCAGAACTTGGGAGGTGCAATTGGCTCTTGAGCTGAGACAACTAAATAGTAGTTGTTTGCATTTGCTAGTAAGACAACTTATCCAAAGAGTGTATTTGGGCTTAGAGTCCATCATGACAGAGCAGAGGCATAGCAGCTGGAGCAGGAAGCTGAGGGATCACAACTTGAATGGCAAAGCCCCAAACAGCGAGAAGGAACTGAAAGTGGGGCCAAGCCATTGATTCTCGGAGCCAGCCCCCAGTGATGCATGCCCTCTAGGAAGGCTACACCACTTTCCTAAACAGCGGCACCAGCTGGGCATCAAGTGTTAAAATAAAATACAGCAGCCCATGGGGGTCATTCCCATTCAGGCCGCCACAGGTGCTCTGGCTCAGAAAATACAGAAGTAAAAAAGCAGCACAAGAGAAACTTTAAAAAGTAAGAGAGGGACAGAGAGGCCTCTCTATACGGTGTGTTAGAGGGAGACAGGTTCTCCCTAATGGGACTGAACAGGTGTTAAACTGCAGGCTGATTGCTTTATAATAAAGTACAACCTTTTATCTGTGTCTTCTTCTAGCATTATAATTCATAATGAAACTTTGCACTGTTCTCTGTCCTCAAGAACAAATGTTTACTAGCTTCTGTTTTTGCCTATTTTTATAACCTTCTACAATACTGAGTTTTCTAAAACTTTCAATTGAGTATTTTGAAATTTTAACTTAGCTGGTTTGTTGTGTTATGAAGCAAAAATTCAAGAGCATATGTTCTTTTTCTACTGAAATCTCCTGAAACCACGCCAGTGTAGCTTAAAATGTCTGATGTAGTCAGTGTGGTTTTCTTTAATTGATTATTTCTTACACGTTTTTCCCTTAGAAGTTTTTGTTAACATTTTACAAATATATTGTACTAAGATGTGTTTTAAAATGTTTTTATCTTAGGAAAAATTTGTTCAAGGGGAAAAGACTTTTGATTTTTGATGTTAAGCAGTTTGCTGATGAAGCACCTGAACCAGGTTTGTAAGAAGAGAACAACCCTTCTCCAAGTGGAGAAGTATTCTTTCTTTCAGAAAAGGTCCTGGTGTCTTGGTTGTGTAACAGTTGGGTATTTGCATTTTTATATTTCTTCCTCTCATTGTCCTAGATGTTGCTTATGAATAAAACTGCTGATTTGGGTCATGCTTCCCCCTTAAAATACTGCATTCTGTGGGACCCTGAGGGATCAGTACTGCCAGATGAACAATCCAGAACTATGGACTGACTGCTGCTCTTGTTCAGAAAGGGTTCTTCACCCGCCATTTGCAGTATAACTGACTGCTCTTGGATCAAGGTCACTACCCTGTGGTTCCTGTTTTTGAGCACCTTACTACCCAGGGTAGGAGAGAGATAGCGTGCGTGTATTTATGAAGTTGAATACTCTCTTTTCCTTTTGGTTCATTGGCTGCTTGTCAGTCTTTTTAAAAGGCTGACTCTTCATTGATTCTTTATATTGTTTTTTGTTTCTGAAATATTAATATCAGCTTTGATTTTGATTATCTCTTCCCGTCTACTCTTTGGTGGTGTTACAGCCTTTCCAGTGCCTCTGGGTGCATCATTAAGTTACTAATTTGAGAACACTAAACTTTTTAATGTAGGTATTTCGTTCTATATTTCTCTGGACTGGCTTCAGTATGTACTGTGTCTTGTATGTGTGTTTTCATTCTCATTCAGTTCTGGAATTTTTTTATTTCCTTCTTGATGTCTTCCGTGACCTGATTATCAGTGAGTCCCATGTTGTTTAGTCTCCATCTGTTCTCGTGCTTTCTGCAGTTATACAGCTTTACCCCATTGTGGTCGGATAGAACAAAGGGTGTCGTTTGAATGTTTCTGTATTTTTTGAGATTTGTTTTGTGTCCTAATACATATTAGGATAAAACCAGGATGTGTTTTGAAGAAATTGCTGCTGAGATTGATGTATATTCTTTAGTTTGTGGGCAGAATGCTTTGTAGATATCTTGTAGGCTCATTTGACTTATGATGTTGAACTCCAAAGTTTCTCTGTTTAGTTTTTTTCTGGATGATCACTCTGTTGGTGAGAGTAAAGTATTGAAATCGCACACCATCTCTGTGTCGGGATCAGTCTGTGGTTTTGATCTAACTAACAGTCTTTTTTTTTTTTTTTTTTTTTGATTTTTCGAGACAGGGTTTCTGTGTATATATATCCCTGGCTGTCCTGGAACTCACTCTGTAGACCAGGCTGGCCTTGAACTCAGAAATCCGCCTGCCTCTGCCTCCCAAGTGCTGGGTTTAAAGGCGTGGGCCACCACCGCCCGGCCATAAAACCATTCTTAAAATGAAAATTCTTTTTCTTCTCCAAAAAAGGTGGTATAATAACCTGGCATGATGTTAATAAAAACTAAGATTTGCTATTATTATTGTTATTATTGCCTGTACCTTTTGTTTTCACTGCAATTTTAGCTCTTGGTAGCCTTTCATTATAAACAAATTCTGAATATCAAGGTCTGAAAATATGTATCAATATAGAGTTGTTGACCATAACATTTTAAAATTAGTTACATTTTTCTCCACTCTGTGTTTATGTCTGTCTGTGGGAGCGTGGGTTTGAGTGTGGAGGTCAGGGGAACCTTTAGGAGTTTGCTCTTCTACTGTGTAGCACGCAAGGAGTCACACTTGTGTACTCAGGCTTGGTAACACTGAGCCTTACTTAACCCACTGAGCTAGCAATTACATTTTTAAGAAACATTTACATTTTCCTTCACTGATTTGTTTTCTTTTAACCCCATAGAAGCATCGCCTTCCCTCTGGGAGATAGAGTTTGCTAAGCAGTTAGCCACAGTAAATGAACAGCCCTTTGCAAATGGGTTTGAGGAGATGATACAGTGGACCAAGGAGGGGAAGCTGTGGGAGTTCCCAGTCAACAATGAAGCAGGTAAGCGTGACCTCCGAAGCTCAGAGCAATCCCCGCCGGAGACTGTGGGAAGGTGTTCCGTCTTAGAGGGGAGATAGGTGCATAGGAGGATCTCAGAACACTGTGGTATCCGAGAAGAGATCTAGCAAGTTATCGTAAGTCGTTTTAAAGATGGCGAGAATTTGATTCAACTCTAGTTATTTGATAACAATAAAGGAGTAAAATTATGGTCAAAATGTATCATCGGGCTTGGGGATGTAGTTCAGTCAGTAGAATGTCTGTCTAGTACTCATGAAGCCCTGAAGCCCTAGGCTGGACCCCAGGACCTCATAGACGGGCATGGCAGCACGGGTTTATTCCCTCAGTGGAGATGGCAAATCAGAAGTCTGTAGTTGTGCTCAGCTGCAGGGCTCACATACAGAAGCTTGAGGACAACCTTGGATGTCTGTCGTCACCTTTCACCATGTTTGAGACAGGTTCTGTCTGGTTTGCTGCTGTGTCAGGCTAGCTGACCCAGGGGATTCCAGCAGTCCTCCTGTCTTGACTCCCATCTCATTAGGGGCTGCACTGGGATTATAGAGGTTTTCTCTGTTGCATCTTCAATCTGAGGATCACCTCAGGCCATCAGACTTGTGCAGCAAGCCATCTCCCCAGTCGTGGACCTCAGTTTTATATCCACTGTACAGTACATGGCTCGGGCTGTATGTGGGTCATCTATATAGAGAGTAGTTGTTGAGCCAGGTGTGGCGGTGCACACCTGGATCCTGGCATTTGAGATTTGGAGGCAGGAGCATCAGAAGATGGTGAGCAGTCAGGGTTCTGTGAGCGCCTGTCTGGAAAACAGACAGAATAAAATGAGAGGTCTGCTGAAGTTAGGATGTAGCTGTGACCTTGTTTTCTTTTGCTTTTTGTGTTTATCATTCTGTTTTCTTCCCTTGGGTTGCTTAAACGTCTTCTTATGATTCTGTCTTATTTTACTTTTAAGTATCCATCATATAACTTTCTTAGTACCCTCCTCAGATGTTGACAGTGTTGGTGAGTGACAGTTGCTTCTGTCACAGAAGACCTGCAGTCTCCACGTCACGGCTCACTTCCGTTCACTCTCCGCAGCACCCTGGGAGGCGTTCCCTTCATCCTCACATTGTGTCTGGAAACTGATGCTCACAGTTACGTTTGTTTGTTAAACTGTTGGCCAAACTAGGTCTCACTTCACAGTTTGTGCTTCTAACTGTGCTGGGATGCATCGGTAATGTTAATTTTATGATGTAGGCTTTATGTTCACAATCATGTTACTTTTTTTATTTTATTTCCCAGGTTTTGATGATGATGACTCAGAATTCCATGAGCATATATTTTTGGATAAGTACCTGGAGGATTTTCCCAAGCAAGGACCAATTCGCCTGTTCATGGAGCTGGTGACCTGTGGCCTTTCGAAAAACCCATATCTGAGTGTTAAACAGAAGGTCGAGCATATAGAGTGGTTTAAAAATTATTTTAATGAAAAAAGAGATATCCTCAAAGAAAATAACATAACGTTCACTTAACATCATGAAGAAAAAATTTTATTTAAACTGTTGAAGATATATATTATACCTAAATAAAAGTTTTATCAAAACTCTCCTGTGTTGATCATTGTACCCGATGTGACTAACATAACTGTGAAATTACTTTTAACCTGAAGTACACACTTACATATCTGAGAATTAGCGATACATCTAAGACGGTTCTAATGGTTTTCACTAGGTGACGATGTTTCTTTGAGGTGTTTAATTGTTAGTGGTAAAGCTGACTTCCATCAAAATCCTCGTGTAACTAGTTCATTGTAACTATAACAAAGTGCCTGACTCGGGCTAATGGTATAAAGGGGAAAAGCTTATTTAATACAGCGTAATACAGACTTTGGTAAGGCTTCATCCCAAATGCAAAAGCATGCACGGGAGGAAGAGCTCACACCTGTAAACAGTGGACGTGAAGCCTCACAGTCCCTTGTGAGGGCAACATTCCAGTGACTGCTGTCCTCCTGCATGCCCCACTTGTTCCACTGTACTGGGGTTTTGTATTTATCATCTGGCAGTTTTATACATGTATATAATGTATCTTGATCATATACACACACACACACACCCAGCTCTGCCTCCCACTGCTTCTGGACCCTTCCCCCTTCACGTCCTTCTCCTCACTGAGTCCAAATAGTGCTGGCTGCAAGGGAATGCAAGACCCACTTGTTAAGGATCCGTGCCTCCCACATTAAGGACCAGGCCTGTAACACAGTAGAATGCAAGAAGCAGACAGCTGAGTCTTCAGCCCCAGCTGACCAGCACCCATTACCCCAGCAGGGCCAAGGTATCATTTTTTAGTGGTTCTGCTATCTTGTTAATCATAATGGATTCTTTAGCCCCAAGTAGCCAGAACCACAGATTCCTAACTCAGATGGCCTGATAGTATCTTTGGTTCCCCTGAAACATCACATCCAAGTCTCCATCCTCTGCACTGTTGTCAACCCTCTCATTCCCCCAAGCTCCCACAGGCAGCTCATTGGGTTCTCAACACTCAATGACTTTTGCAACCCAAAGTTCCAAAACCCTTCCATAATCCTCCCCAAAACAACATGGTCAGGTCTGTCACAGCAATACCCCACTCCTGACACCAACTTGTCTTAAGGTTATCATTGCTGTGATCAAACACCATGACCAAAGCAACGTGGGGAGGAAAGGGTTTATTTGGCTTATACTTCCATATCACTCTTCATCATTGACGCCAAGACAGGAGACCATGGAGGGGTGCTGCTGACTTGTGCTCTCCATGGCTTGCTCAGCCTGCTTTTTTTTTTTACAGAACTGAGAACTGCCAGCCCAGGGATGATATATCACCCCTTCTTTTTACCTATCCTCAGGGTCTGGAATGAAGAGTTGGTTCTCTAAAGGCCTCAGGTAGGCTAAGATACTCCAAACAGTAAAGTTTACTTGACCAATAACACCTGTGGGCTGGCCGCAGGATCCCAGAAGTTTCTGATAACGTGGCTGGCGACTGACCTGCAGATGGACTCTCCTATCCCCAAAGTTCCCCCTTTGCACCCTATAAAACCCCAAGTCCCCTGTGCCACGTATGCAGACTCCACATCCACAGGAGAAAGATGTCCCTCAGTTGTCCCAACTAAAGGAACAATTCTGTCGTTGGAGAGGCTGGTTTCTGCTTTCTTTTCTTCCCATGGCTCTTCCATCAGTTTGGATCTAACACCCACAGCCTCAGGTAAACATATCCAGGACCAGCCTTGACTGTGTCTGAGCAGTCTGGGCTGATGGCGAAGTTCCAGGTCAGTAGGGTGAAGAAAAAGCTGGAAGGTTGGCATCTCCCCTTGTCTATCTAGAGCCTCTCTCCCTGTTGCTCTCCCTGTCTCAGAGATGCATCATGATCACAGTCCTTTATTCTGTCAAACAACTGAAGATTACAGATGGAAAAACAGAAAGATGGTTTGGGTGTCCGGGGCTGTTGTACTCACTCCTCCTGGGGAGACAAGAACAAACATCTGTTCACTCTGATAGGTCAGCAATACAGAGGAAAGGAAGGTTTCTACTGAAGTGCAGCTTGACAAACCAAGGGATGCATTGAGCTTATTTACAGACCATGGGTAAGGAGTTACTTACAGGAGAATAGGTGGCCATTAAACAGGCTCTTCGTGCTGTTGCAGTAGCCTTAAAGACCATTGGAGATGGGCTCCTTCCTCATGAATTTTGGACCCCATCTCCTCATTCTGTGGTAACACTAGAAAGAGAAGTCCATTTCTTTTTTTTTTTTTTTTTTTTTTTTTTTTGAGACACAGTTTCTCTGTAGCACTGTTCTCTGTAGAACTGTAGATCAGGCTGGCCTTGAACTTAGAGACCCGCTTCCCAAGTGCTAAGATTAAAGGGGCTGGAACATGATATCCATGTGAGGAGGAAAGTCTGTGCCATCACATAGAAATGCTCAGGCGTTGCCGGGCAGTGGTGGCGCACACCTTTAATCCCAGCACGTGGGAGGCAGAGGCAGGCAGATTTCTGAGTTTGAGGCCAGCCTGGTCTACAGAGTGAGTTCCAGGACAGCCAGGACTACACAGAGAAATCCTGTCTCGAAAAACCAAAAAAAGAAAGAAAAAAAAAGAAAGAAAGAAATGCTCAGGCATGGCTAGCATGTAAACAGGTTAGCTTGTGCCACCACATCATGGTGCGTGGGCACGGCCAGTGTATGAAGAGGTAAGCTCATTGCCATGCCATGGTATCTTAGGACATGACACACATGCTAATAAACACACAGAGCCCACCATGTGGTGGCTCTTAGACACGGAGCACATCCAAACAGGTGTGCTCAGTCTGTTGCCGTTGATTGACACAGAGCAATTCAAGCATGCCAACAGGTGATGCAGAGGCACAACGTGGAGGCCCTGGGACACCGCCAGCATGTGGACAAGTATGGCCACACGCCACATGGCTGTGCTTCAACAAGGCATGCCTTCACAGCCAAGTGATGATGCAGGGGCATGGCAGATAATGTAAACAGGTGAGCCCCCATTGCCTTGAGGTTGTATTGGGGCACAGCAGGTATGTAAACAGGCATGTGAACAGGTGTGTGAGCAGGTGTGAGAGAAGGTGTGTGAGCAGGTGTGAGAGCAGGTGTGAGAGCAGGTGTGTGAGCAAGTGTGTGAGCAGGTGTGAGAGCAGGTGTGTGAGCAGGCATGTGAACAGGTGTGTGAGCAGGCGTGTGAACAGGTGTGAGAGCAGGTGTGTGAGCAGGCGGTGAACAGGTGTGTGAGCAGGTGTGAGAGCAGGTGTGTGAGCAGGCATGTGAACAGGTGTGTGAGCAGGTGTGTGAGCAGGCGTGTGAACAGGTGTGTGAGTAGGTGTGTGAGCTGGTGTGAGAGCAGGCGTGTGAACAGGTGTGTGAGCAGGCATGCTGCACCACCTCAGTCAGCCCTGGGATGTGGCAGGTGTAAGATCCCTTGTAACAACCTCTCTTGTCACCAAATGAAGCCTCCAGTGCCAGGAATTGGCTACGTTTAATTGAGTTGTTGGACAAAGTAGCCCCATGGAAACCCTCAAACAATCCAAGCTACTGCCAAGGCTAATATTTTGTTGTTTTTTCCCTTACAAACTGATGTCCCTGTTGCTGAAGACAGCACCTACGTAACTCAGTGAACACAGAGAAGTCAAGCTGCTGCCCGTCAGGAACCTTCACCCCTACTGACTGGTGTGCACAGGTCTGGAAGTGACTGCATGCTACCAAAGGAGACAGGTAAGCACCAACCCAGCTACAAACCCTTCCATACACAATGACGACCTGCCTGCCAGATGATCCAGTGCAGTAAGGGCACAGTGGTTATATTCCTAACCAACCAATATCTGATTGGATTTAAGGCCCACTCCATGAGATAGAACTCATACCCAGTGCAGCACCTGGAGACTAGGTAGCCCAGGGACCTAGGGTAAAACCAAATAGTGCTTTTTAAAAAGTAGCAATAAAATGACTCCCAATAACATTCTGCCATACTCACAGATTGGTGCCTTACTCTGCCACCATCGGAGGAGCTTCCTTCTGAAGCAGATGGGAACAGATACAGAGACCCACAGCCAGATAGTGTACAGAGAGTGAGAGGCCTTGGAACACTCAACCCTAAGTGAGGTGTCTCCATCAAATCCCTCCTCTCGGGGTTGGGGAACTCTGGAAGAGGAAATAGAAAAAGTGTAAGAGGGAGGGAGGACCCCAAGGCCACAGGACCTTCCAGGCACCACAGGACAGATAGATACACGTATGAACTCAACGGAAACTGAGGTAGTGCACACAGCTTCTGTGCAGGTCTAAGCCAGACGGTATACCAGCACTGAGGGGGGAAGTAGACACGTGCTCCCATGGCTGACCCAGAAGCTCTCTCCAGCTGTTAACCACCCACAAAGGAAAAGTTAGTTTTCTCCAAGGGAGTCTGCTGAACATACAAACCACTCTCAAGTGCTGGCCACACCCCCAGCAGTAGATGGCCAACATAAAATGAACTCAGATTATGTGTTCTATATTTCTCTCTGTGTGAATGTGTTTGTCTCAGTGTCTGCATGTGTTTCTTGTGCTTTTTTTTTTTTTTGAGACAGTGTTTCTCTGTGTAGCTCTGGCTGTCCTGGAATTCACTCTGTAGACCAGGCTGGCCTCGAACTCAGAAATCCGCCTGCCTCTGCCTCCCGAGTGCTGGGATTAAAGGCGTGTGCCACCACTGCCCAGCTGTTTCTTGTGCTTTTACTTTGTTTTGTTTGTTTGCTTGGTTGGTTGGTTGGTTGGTTGGTTGGTTAGTTGGTTTTGTCCTGGGTTTTTGTTTTATCTTATTTATATTCATTTAGTTAAATAACTGTTTGTTTTCCACCGAGAGAAAGAGAAGAGAGGCTGTGGATTTTGGTCAGTGAGGAAACAGAGAATCTGGAAGGAGTTGGGGCATGGGAAAGCATGGTCAGAATATAATGTTGTAAAAAAATTCTATTTCCAATTTAAAAAATAGTAAGTTAAATTCTTTTTTTTTCTCCACAAGGGGAGAGCCAGGCAGGGCACAGCTGAAGAAGAAAAAGAAAGCAGTAAGTGTTCACTTATTAATTATGACTAGTAAGT